TATATATATATATATATATATATATATATATATATATATATACACACACACATTTTTTTAACAAAAAAGAAAATACCCTTTTCTTCATAAACTGAAACTTTGATGATTTCATATGTGCATTATCTTAAGATTGATGAGTCTCATTGTATGCCTTTTTGTCAAACAAAACTGAAAACATATATGTTGCCTGGTTTTGATTTCAAGGATACCTTATGAACATGAAATGATGATCCCCTGACCAAAACCCTGGCAGTCTTGAAGCATCTCCCAGTATGATACAGATTCCATGAACAGTACAGGATGGACACAACAGGCAGGAGTGACCAACCCATTATGGACTGGTCCCCGAAGTATTTATGGAGCCAAGTCTGTCTGAGGCATCCAGTCCCTCTCTCCCTGCCTCACCCTAAGTGACCAACTTGTGCACTTCATCACACTTGGCTTCCACTTCATATGGATGGCCATTCTGTCCCTATGCCAGGACCAAATGCCTCATGACCTCCCAAAGTTTACTGCTGTTATATTCTCCCCACCCTGAAATTCATACTCTTAGGATCCATCTCCCAGTGACTTCCTACGTTGCGTGATCGTGACAATGGGAGAAGACTAAAGATGACTGCCACCCCTGCTCCCTAAGGCATCCCTAGGGTTCTCCCAAATGCCAAAGGAACTAACAGTAAAAATTGCTAATCAAGAGGAAAGGGCTGCACAGCTACTGAAGGGGCAGCGACTTTGGAAGTAGGAAGGTTCTAAAAGCATCCTCAAATCCCATAGTGAGGATGCTTACTGTTTGTCAGACTAGGGACATAAAAGACAAAAATACTCATTAGGCAGAATATGCTTCATTTGGGGGACTAACAAAATGGTGAATAAAATGTGAATAGAAATACTATCCTGTTTTCTAAAGATTCACTGTAGCTTTGCATATGCAGGTGTGCCAGAAAAGCTCCTCTTGGAATCAAAAGTTCCTGCCCCACAGAGCATATGCTACGAGCATGTGCCAACATTCCCAGCAGGTGTACTTTCACAGCACAGCTGCTCACACACAGCCAGGATGAGCTGCCGTCTCAGCTGATTTTCACCAGAGCAGACTGGGGGCCTCACAATACAATAAACAGGAGAGGCTGTTTACAAAAGTCCTCAGTTCTCTCATGCCAGGAGAAAAGTTGCTGCATCCAAAATCAGAGCAGTCTTATCCATTCAGATAATATCTCAGAGGAGGAAACAAAACAAAACATTTGAGCCCCAAATTAAGCCCTATTCCCCAGAACTGTCTGCTTCTAATATACGTCAAGCTAGTAGGGTGACAATGAGAAACTCATCTTGACTTCATACACTTAAGAGGGGAAAAGGTATTTAGGTGGCAATCTTAAAGGAAAACATAAAAGAAAAAGGGAAAAAGATAATTAGGAGGACAAAAAGTAGACAATATGCAACAAATGGGCGTCAAAGCATTTCATGGGAAATTCATGCCAACTTACCAACTAGTAGGACAATGTTTACAATATATGCCCATCCAGGGCGTCCAATGGCAGCACCAGAGGTACCCTGATCAGTCTGTGCAGGGGCTGCCTTGCCTCCCCTCACTCCTGTCAGTTCCAAACTTGTTTCTCCCTTTCCCATACATTCTGCAAGCTACTCAGTATCCTGCCGATAAATTCCCTCTCCTTTAAGTTTAAATAAGATAAATTAGTCTTTTCTTTAGTAAGGATTTATTATCACATTAAATAATGACATAAGGAAATATTTAAAGCACTATATATAAGGTTAAAGTAGAACTACATGACAACAAGAAATGAATACATGAACAAACTTGATTTCTGAAACACTGAAATAAGTGAATAGAAATAGAATATTTCCTTTAGCCCAAAGGTAACTGTAAAAAGTAAAGAACAAAATCCCCAAAAAAGGTAACAGGTAAAGTAGCCGCAAGAGATCTGGGACCATGGACAGGATTAGATTATGCAAATATGCAAGGGAATCAAAAGATAAGAAATATAAGCCTGTTATGAAATTCAAACATAAGTAGGCTTTATCTGTAAGTGTACATTTAACTTCATCTTTCTAGCAACTTGTTTTAAAGCCCTATTCATCTTATGTTTAAAAATTTTATGCTTGTGTATGTACCTTGGGTACAAACACATTTTTAAAAGCCTTTTTAAAGCAAAAGGAAAAAAGGAACTGCGGCATCCTTAATAAAGCACCAATATCAAAGTGAAAAATAAGTTTGGCATGTGAAGCCCACATTGGTTTTGTCAGTCAACATTTTTTAAAGGAATAAATCTAATGATAGGTTATTCCTAATTGAAGTGCTGGGTTTCTTTAAAAATGCAGCAATTACAGCAAATGGATTATGCTGCACTGTCTGAGAAGCACTGATTTCTTCCTTTCCACAGACTGCATGTGCCTTGGGGATCATTTTCCAGCTCACAGAGTTCAGGAGGATGCCACTTCCCATCTAAAGAAAGAGCAGCTGGTTGCAAAGGATAGTGAGTCCAGCCAACCCATTTGTTAATTGCTTCCTGCTACCCCACAGCTTCCTGTTGACACTTAGTGGAGATTTAAACATTCCTTTAAATCAGGGTTACTGCACCATAATGACAAAGGATAAATGGAACATCTCAGTCAGCAGGGTTGTGAATCTGCAGTCTTACCATGCACAAAACTTTAGAAAGGGGGAAAAGGCATACAATGGAAAATAAAGCAGTATCTCTGCTTAGTAATGATCCTATAGTGGATTGGGAAATATAAATATTAGTTGCTTGATACAAACTGCTATGTGGCCTCAAAGTTTCTCTCCAAAATAGATATTTTTAAAAAATAATGCTGTGCTTGTATTTAGTGCCATGGGTCCATTCTATCTACCTCAGTGGATGAAAAGTCACAAATATTTAGATGTAATGCCTCTAGAATTCCAACCATGAGTACACCTAGAGCTACTTCTTGAAATTTTCCCTTGAGATTATAAACTTGTCAAATAATTCCACAAATGGCTCTAAGAATCTTTAAACATGGGACATAGAGTAGATTTTTAAAATAGAACATTAAAGCTAAAGTCATAATCTCTACAAATAAAACAATTTTTTCATTCAGTTCCCTATGAAGTCATCACCAAGGAGGATGATTACAAACTGCATACCTTAGAGCAACCATGTCTTCCAAAAGGCACATGAATGATTTTCATTTGAAATAAAAATTTCATGTAAAAGTAATTGAGGTGAGGAAAGACAGACAGATGGATGAAAAGAGATGTGTTGACTACTTAGCTAGCCATTGTGGATTCTTTCAAAATAGGGCTTGTGTAATGGTAACTAGGAAGCATATTTACATGAGGCACCTTACATTCAAATCTATAAATTCTTTTATAATGAAAATACACCTTATAACATTAGCCTTTTATACACTCAACACCAGAAAACATTCAGTGCACATTAAAGTGATCTTGCTCAAAAGTCACTTTATTTGCTACATCTTTCATCTGTCTGCCCTTTTGTCCTTGGCTTGCACTATGTGGAAACGCTACCCAACACTCACCCAAACCTTGGTCTGATGGATTGTTTTACTGTAGCATCAACAATCACATCCCTTGCTGTTGTGACAAGTGCTGTTTTGCACTGTGTAGTTTTGGATGATTAAACTGCTTTTCAAACATCTTCAAAGCCTTTCAGAAGAGAGGTCCATTACAAAAGACATAAACACAGAGTATAAAACGCTGCCTTCGAACATGGCCCTTCAGTTTGGGCATCTAAGACAATTACACATGAAGATGAAGGGGATTTTGTCCATGGACACTACTGGGACAGATCAAATTTAGAGAGCATCTCTAAAATCTTCTCTGTAGATCCCATTCCTCTCAAGAAAAAGCAGAGAAAAAGAGGAAATCAGAAGTACACTTTCACAGCATACCATGTAATTGATTCTATCAATTCCAACCTCACTAGGATAGCTTTCTTTTGGAATGACAGGGCTGCAATTTTAACAGCCATCAAGCTTTGGTTGTTAAGAAGGAGTTTTCAACACAGAATTCTCATTTTCCTAAAGATTAAAATACATACAGTTCAAAATATCAGACTCTCCCCTGCCAGCTGTTTGTGTAACTTCAGAGTTGTTGCATCTTTGTGGTTTCAGATTCCATTTATCCCTTTGTGAACTGTTAGGGCTTTCCAGCTCATGAATCTTCCATCATGTTGCTTCAAAGCCAATAAAGAATAACTTGTTGAAACTCACCCCAGTGATGACAAATATCCTTAATCAACAGTGTAAAAGTTGCTTCTGCTAAAACAAGTCATTCATTTCACAGATAAGGGTGACTTAAAAGCTTTACTAGGGAGCAAAACTTCAGACCACAAAAGCTTAGAGTATTGGCAAGTTTACTGGCGGTCTGTGGTCTCGTGTCTTTGGTGCACTTGTTTCATCTCAGCAGGACACACTGCTGAGGGGTTCACCGGCCTGCAGGGTGAGCCTAACATGTGCGCCCTGGTACTGAAAAATAACAGCTGCCGCCCAGGCAGACGCTATTTGCTCCCAGAAGACAGTGGACAAGTGGGATGACTCCCAGGGAGCCGCCCATTAGCTGCAGAGTGTTTTAAGGCAACACAGCAGCTGAACTACCAGTCTCCTGCTTCAGCAAGCTATGGAGACCAGAAGTTCTGCTGGGCATTTTATCCTCTCACTCAATTAGTTACTCAATAAACCTGCCTCCAGACTGTGCACAGTTTAAAGGAACATCACATGTTTTGGACAAATACCAATTATGAAGAGACACATTTATAGCACTGACCACTATATTTACAATATCATCTGCTTATAATCTTTGAAGACCATTGGATGGATGACACTGATGTGACTGTGACTGTTTTTAGGCATTTGGCAAAATACACTTGTATGTAACAGTTGCTTTTTTTAATTTTAAAAATGTTTACATATATACAATTGTCTTTGTATGCTGATATAAACATGAAAAGTAAAAAAACAAAAATAAAAATACATGATTAAAGTTAGCATATGAGATATTGGCCTCTCAAAGCTTTAAAGTCCTGCAGAAAAATCCTATATGCCATAGCCCTGCATGCTAGTTTCTATTATGGGATGTTGTTTCCTTAAATATGGAAAACAAAATAAACAGAAGCTTCATGCATATAGCATTACTGTTTACAATGAGGATGTGCTTCAGAATGTCAAGTTCTGAATCCATTATTGTCCCTTAGGAAACTTGCTACATTTGGGTCATATGAGTTAACTTTATTGATATTTCTACATATTACCTGTCATGCGAATTATCCATTAACATACCAGTACCTTTATTGTTCCATGTTATAGTGTAACTTTTCAGTAGTTCTTTTCATGGTTCAGTTAAATCCTAAGCCAATGACAAAAAGAAAATGGTATCCAGATGTGAGACTCGGCTTCCTCTCCTCTGTGGCATTTCAGAGGGTCTTTGTATTGTCTGAAGAGCAGATAGATTTGCAGTGATTCCGTGAGGCTGGGTTTCTATAAAAGTTGAAGTAAACAATTTCGATGTGTCACATGTAAACAGTTGATCTTAAATGGATGTCTCCCATAGCTGCACAACAGAGAAAAGCAAAATTGTACATTGTGAAATAGGAAGCAGAAGCATTCTAAACTATAAAGATAAAAAGATTTGGTGATTCCATCCATATAAATATGTGACTATGGATGTATACTCTTGCAAAATCTAATAAATGGATAAAATAAGCACTCCAACTTTTAGCTCTATTTCCTCTAAACCTATTTCTCAACCTTTTAAACAACTGCCACCTTTAGATACAAAAAAATCACATCCTCATGAAATGTTACTTGAAATTGTAAATAAAGTACATACTGTGTCTAAAATAAAAGAATTCAAACTGTTACTTGTTAAAACTACACATGCCCTTTTTTCCCCTAAGATTTAACTGAAGTCAGCTAGAGCAGTGATTCTCAACCCCAGCTATACATTACATCGATCTGGGGACGTTTTCAAGTTCCCACTGCTCAGACAACACACCAGGTCAACAAAATCAAAATCTCTCTGGGTGGGACTCAGTCATCAGGATATTTTTAGAGCTCCTCAGATGATTCCCTTGCTCAGCCAAGGCAGAGAACCACTGACATAAGAAAAGAATAATTCCACCAATATCCCACCCACATAAAAATCACTGCCCTCAGTCTATGACCAGGTCATGTGCTCCAACTCCATCACTGCCTCCTAGAAAATAGTTCTCTCTCAGGAGCTAATGTATCAAAGTAGACGGATGCATTTATGACAGGATATCCCCTCTTGAATTCCCTTGCTCCTACCCTCTCCTTGCTTTTGCTTTTGTATGGTCCTGTTCAGATCCAAGTTCCACAATGTGCAGTAATCACCTTGGTAGAGTGATCAGATATGAATGCAACTCAGTTCACCAGATTAAGGAAGAGTAATTGTAAAAAAAGGTCAAGCTGATGAAATATGTTTCCAGGCAATATAATCTAGGTATAGTCATTATGAACATGAACAAAGAAAGCCTATAACCATAATGACTTAGGCTGTATCCAAAATTCCATTTTACTGGACACTGGGGGCATGTCATTGTATATATAATAAGTTTTGGGGAAAGTAAAAAGATAAAAAGTTAGGTGACTAAGTGTTTCTACACAGGTTCTCTTCATATGTTCTCTCAAATCTTCACAAATCTGGTTCTGAATAGCCATGCTGGTTTACTCCCCAGAACTGTGGCAAGAACCACCTGTGCCATCTATATTAGGTTTGCTTTGTATGTCTGTTTCATTAAAAAGACAGCCATCCCCTTGTCCTTTGGAAATCAAAGGGATCTCACTCTCAACTGTGAGGATCTCTGTAAATGGATGACACTTGGTGGTGGAGAGGAGTTAAATGGGACTTGCAGGGTGTCTGGAGCAAGAAAAATCTGGATTGATGTTCAGATAATATTCTGGAGTAATAAAGGACTTATACTTCAGCTTCAGAAAGCCAAAGTTTCCTAAATATTGTTATGAAGATTATATAAGTGACACCTTGCAGAAAGAAGGGAGGAACACATGAATAACACTGGGAAAAACCTAAATGATTATATCTCAGTGAGAAAAAATGAGCAAAGAATTGCCAAACATTAATTTTAACATTAGGCATGACTTTACCCACATCTTGCTGCTGTAAAAGAGGGGCTGCTGGTGGGACGATCTGCTTGTTCCATTCTTTACAACCCACAAAGACAGCCCAGAGACAGGGGCCACATATTCTGCAGGATTCTGCCAAATGCTTATGTGGCTGTTCCACTGTGAGTAAAACAAATCAGATATTTTGCTTAACCATCCCAGCAGCCAGAGTCTTCATGGCTATCTGCTCAGCCCAGGGAAGGGGCCATGGGCCAGTTACTTCTGGAGAACTTGTGTGTTAACATTTGTAATAACCCACATCCTGGCAAAAAAACAGCTAAGAGAATGTCCCCAACTTGATGGAGCAAGACAGCAATATAGACAATTCAGCAGGAAAAAAAGTGGAGTGCTGACCTTAGACAATTCTCTGAGGAGGGAAGGAACGACATCAACCTTGGATTTCATTATCACATACCACATCATGAACAACTGTCTACAGAGAAGTCTTTTTTTTTTTTTTTTTAGGTAAGGAAGCTGAGTGCTGGGAAACTGAGTTTTCTTTCTTTCTTTCTTTTTATCTTTTGCCATTTCTCATATCAACATACAAAGATAACTTTTTATGATTAGCAAAACATCACTGATTTTTATTTTTTATTTTTTTGAGTCAGGTCTCACTTTGTCTCCCAGACTGGAGTACAGTGGCACTGATCACAGCTCACCACAGCCTTGACTTCCTAGGCTCCGGTGATCCTTCTGCCTCAGCCTCCAGAGCAGCTAGGATTACAGGCCCATGCCACCATGCCCGGCTTGTCTTTTAAATTCTTTGTAGAGACAAGGTCTTGCCATGTTGCCCAGACTGGTCTCAAACTCGGGTTCAAGCAATCTTCCCACCTCAGCCTCCCAAAGTGCTGGGATTACAGGTGTGCGCTGCCACACCCAGCCCACTGATTGTTTTTAAATACTTTGATTATAGTGATCTAAACAGTTTCTATGAATTTGTGTTTTCTGACTGAGTTGATCAAGTTAAAATTTGAATGATCTGTGTTAACCTTGAACCACATAATTCAGGTGTAGGGTCAAAGAGGCTCTAAAACATCCTTCATCGTGACCACAAAAGTCTAGGAACCCACGGGTCCTGGACCCATCAGAGCTAAATCTGCCAAGGCTTTTTAAAGCTCTATTTTTCTGCATTATTTCTAAGAAGATCAACTTTACAGTGTAATTGACCATAACAGAACCTGGACATCAATAACAGTAATTTATTCTTTGGTTGCAATCTCACTCAAGTCTCTGAAGGTTAGTATGCCTCTCTAAACTCCACTATACCGGATATGTATATTTCACAGGCTGGATATGTTCCAGGAATGCTGTGAGACAGAGAGGTTGTGTAATTAACATGTAAAGGTAACTTAATACATATGACTTTTGGTGAATTATATTTTTTATAAAAATAATCAACACTCTATATTTGTTTTTAAATTCAGTCTTTTTTTTTTAAGTATAAAAGGCTGTTAAATTTTGCCACACCCTTTGCTACATTCTTTTGATATTACAGATTTTTCAAATCCTCTTTCCTTGTATCCAAATTCAAGTCCCATCTCCAAAACATTGATCTGATTTTCTGTCACAGGTTCCTATTCCTGAAGTCCAATTGGGTGTTACTGGCCAGTGAAAGGCCTGAGTAAGCAAATTGCCATGGAAAGGAGGCTAATTTACTCAATCTCAAGCATTTCCAGGTACATTAAAAAACTGACAAAACAAAATATAATCCCTTTGGTTTGTCTATTTCAGGTGCTAATATATTCACTCCAATGAATACTAAGATAGAAATATACAGCAATGAGTAATTAATATATACCCAATAAACTAATTTGTAAATATAAATCTGAACTTCAAAGTCCAAGAATCTCCTAATTTTCAAATTTACTTCTTTCATGTTCTTATGGATAAAGAAGAAAAGATGGTTCTCTCTCTTAAAATAGATAAATGATTATGACTGAGTATGTAAGCATATGGAAGAAGTTCCCACGTACCCTGGCACTTTGTCGGTTCACTTTCTTCTCCTCATCGGGCAGTGGAGGCATTGGATAAGGGTATTTTCTACTGGAGGCTATAGACCCAGTTGATGAAGAAGGAGACTTGGCAGGAGATAAAGTCCTGAGACGTTGAGAACATATGAAATAAATATCATGTGATTGCCTAACATCTTTTTCAAATATCTGAAAAGTGGGTTCAGAATAAACCCTCTGACTTCTACTTTCATAAGACACTACTGTAAAGGTTCTACTACTGGGAAGATACTCTGCCATTCCAACACCGAAATGCTGGAATTTTATCTTCCTAATTTCATGATGGCAATGAATCGTTCAAATGTTAGTACACAGAATCATACTTTTTAACTAGAAAGTCAACAACAAAGTCTCCTATAGAATAGATAAACAGCAAAAATGGAGAAGGGATCAAATTATTATAAAAGCTCATAATGGCAAATTAAGTGTACAAAAATATTAATGTTCTGCCTTATTTTTACCACTTAATGTAAAACTGTTTAAGTACAATAATTCCAACTATATCTTAAGATACATTTTAACTGATATATTTATTAGTTGCTAAGTCACACAACAGTTTACGCAAAACTCATGCATTCAGAGGCCACTGTGTTAGTTGTAAAGGAACAAAGGCAAATACAAGGGTTTTAATACTAAATTAGTAAACATGCAAGCAGTAAGGAGTGCAGAGCTCCAGCCAAACAAAGTCTGATGAGAACATACAAAAATGGTCTGATTAGTTCCTGCAATCAGCATTTCTATATAAGCTGTAGGTGTATTATGCTGCACTTGTTTGACTTTGCATTTGTAGTGGTAATATTTGTGACTAAGCTGGACACTAGAATAGCCCATACCTGCTGCTCACTTATCTTGAAAGTGAAAAAAACAGCTGAGTGAAAAATGTCTACTCACAACATATCGATAGAAAACAGATGCGATAAGTGCCATGGCTATTACATTCACAAATGTTACCACCACTACACATCCATTATGCCTTAATTCCTGGTGCAAGGCAGTAATGACTTACATTAATGAACTGTTTGCACTGCCAGATGATAGCATAAGCACTTATTTCACTAGGACGCACCTCACCTGCTGTGGCTGACTCAGGCTGGGAGTGCTGGTGAGGGTAGCATTGAGCAGGTCAAGATCTACTGCCTGTGCTGCATTCAACAGCATAATGATGCTCTTTTCCCTCCTCATTTTAAATATTGGTTCCCATCCATACAATTTCCTTTCCTCTAGTTCTTCCATAGTCTTCAGACTAGTTTCCATTTTATGCACATTGAATTCAAGTAAAATAATTTTTCCTACACACCCTGAGATCCAAGTGAACATTCTTGACTGATTTTGAAAAAGTCAGAGTGTTCAGTTCACTCTAATCTGTGACTCTAATGTCTCCTCTAGTTTAGAAAAATGGCCAGGACCACTCCTTAGCATAAACTGTTAGAACACAGTTTGATAGCAGTTTGATTTCTCTTATGTTAATGCTCTCCACAGCTGAGCAATGGTTGTAACTAAGAATACTAATAATTCAAATTCTCTAAAGTTCTATTAAAGCAATACAGTACTACATATTTTTGCTACTTCAGTGATTAATTGTTTTATTTTAGAAAGGCATTTTAAATAGGACTATGTTCTTTAAGAAACAAAGCCAGTATGGTTAAAATGAGGGCAAGCTTTTGCATTTAGATATTTAAATGCATCTTTCTAAAATGAGGGATATTAACCTGGGTTCAGCTTTCTAGACTAACCATTATTGATTAAAACATTCAAGTAAGGGAAAGCTAATAAGGTACACAAACAACTAAATCTTGTTTTCTTTAGGTGACCATGCAAAATGGGGCCTCTTTTTACTTTGCCTCAGCGTGTGTGCCCACAGCATTAGTAACTAGCTTACAGCTTCACAGTCATGCCAGCCTTAACTTGGTTATGAGTCCAAATGGCCAGCCTGGTACAAATACAAAGTCACTCCAGCAAGGGGTGCTGAAAGTCCAGTATTGCCCTAAAATACCTTTTTATGGGCAAAGTCAATAATGAGTTGAAAAACAGAAAGTATTCTCCAGAACCTTGTAAAAATTGCACATACACTACTTCTGACAATAACATGCTAGTTAATTGACACTTTGGCCTCTGAGGAGAAGAAGAGAAGCTGAGCAGTACAGTTTTAGCAGGGAAAGGGGCAAGCAGTCCTAGAGGTTGGGTGGTGTGTGACAGCATAAAGGTGATTATCTTCGGAGGATGGAGAGAGCACCAGAGCAGGAGTCAGAATAGGAGTAGAGAACAAGGCAGGGTAAATGAGTTTAGAAAAAATAAACGCAAAATTTCTCACAAATGTCTAAAGAAGACATTTCTTCCAAACTGCCCCAGGCTCTTTTCTGACCTTGGCAATTCCATCCTGGCTTGCACTTAAAGTCAAGCATCAGCCCAGCTCATTCACTGACAAAGTGAAGCACATTTTTGGATAAATATTAATTTTTATTTTATTTTATTTTTTGTAAAGACAGGGTCTCCCTATATTGCCCAGGCTGGCTTCGTACTCCTGAGCTCAAGCAATCCTCTCAGTTCAGTCTCTCAAAGTGCTGGGATTATAGGTGTGAGCCACCATCCCTGGCCAGATAAATGCTAGCCATTATTATTACTACCTTTTAAGAAACCATAGTGGGTGCCCTATTAAAATTATACAGTGAAGGTATGTTTGTGTGCCAATGCATTACGGTGCATCTTGGGGTCTGGGCTCTCCTTTTGCAGACAAACTGGTAAAGCCAATCTCAGTTCAGCTCTGGCCCCAAGGACAGGCTAAAACCAGACCATTCACATTAGAAGGACACAAGTCCACCCCTTATTCACTTGCATTCATATGTGAATATTTTTTTATTGTGTGTGTCTATTTGTGTATATGTGCAGAGATGGGGGTCTTGTTATATTGCTTAGGCTGGTCTTGAACTCCCAATCTCAAATAATCCTTCCATCTCAGCTTCCCAAATGGTGGGGATTACATGCATGAACCCCCACGCCCAGCCCTCATATGTGAATTTTATAGTAGGCTGATCTAGAAGGATTTATAAAGTGTCCTAGAATAGGATTTAAGCAGTCAGTATGTACCCTGCTACTTTTAAGTACGATGAAATGGAGAAGGAACAGATTTTAGACTCAGAGCCAGGCTCTAATTCTGACCCTTACTAGCTGTGCTATCTTGAGTTACTCTTTGTACCTCAGTTTCCTTCATCCACAGAAAGATGAATACTTCATGATATGAGAAATAAAGATATATAACAGATACTTGATACATGATAGTTACATATATTATTATCTGTTTCCTTTCAGAGTCACCAAATCTTCCATAAGATCATGAAAGTGGACTCAAAGACCACTAATAAAGTGACTAATCAACTGGCTAATACCCGAGAGTGAATATACCTTCTAAGAGCTTGTAAAGCACTGTCACCAATAGAGCTGCACCCAGGATCTGTGTGCTGAGATAATGCTCTTTCCCTGATCTCACTTGCTTCTTCCTGATGACCTGAATACATGCTGAGGACAATCTGAGCAGCCACTGTCATATCAGACTGGATAAAGAGCACAGTGGAGGTGCTCTGATCTCTCAAACTCTTTAGGCATTTGCCTTGCTCTTTGTAGTGATGTGGAGCCTATATTTTAAATACTGGACTATATTTAGGACCAATTTGCTGTAGTCATGAAGTCCCGACTGTATTTTGATAAGCATGCCACAAACCCAATACCACATGGGTTAATAATAAGGTGACCTTTGCCTTCATTGGTGGTTTTGGCAGGAATGGTCATCCTGAATGTCCTGGCTGCATATGAAGCAGATCTGAACTTAAGCAGAGAGTTGGTGAAGCATAAGCATTTTGGGCCTCCTATGTGAGGCTTAGCTTGCATGGAGAGTAGTATGAAATTCTCTCTACTGCATTAGAATCATTTTGTTAAAAGCTCTGGACCATCTCAATTATTCACTACTGCCACAGAAATTCTATGTTGACTTTCAAGTCTTACCAGCATAATCCTTATTAATCCAAAAATAATGACAGTTAAATTATAACTATCCACTGAACTTTACCTAGCCTTTAAATACAAATATGATTTTTAATAATTATTAGCATTACTATTACTGTAGGAAACAATATCTCATATTAAAGGAGGAGATAAAGGAACCCTCTAAAATTGTCTTTGCAGTTTTGCACGTGCAACCTGGGGTGCTAAAGCATTTCCCCATCCAAATTGCGTTTAGTCATGCAGCTTCTGGGCAGACCTGGGTGCTGATTTTAAGAAATGTGAACTCTTCTCTGGGAGCCACAAAAACTACTCAGTTCACCCAGGGGAGGTGAATCAACTCTTCCGGGGTACCATTTTACAAATTATTGCTGCAAAAATGCTAAATCTGTTTAGGAATAAAATCCTTAACCCTCATAGGACCAAAGTCATTCTTTTTTGGTTCCATGGCTGGTACAAATTACAATCTGCCCACAAGCCTGAGGAAAATAGAAAGGAGAAATGGGACTGCAGGTGAGCCAAGATTCCAAATAGCATTCAAAATCATCTTACCTGTCTTCCTGATGTTGGTCATCTTGGGAGCTACAGGTGAGGGTGGGACGTTTGAATGTGAGTGTATATGTATGAGGTTCAGTGTGGGAAAGTGTGGGACAAGCAGAAAGACAGGGCAGGAGGGAAAGATGGGGTATAAAAGCAGGATATATTGTTGTGAGCAGGCAGGAGTTATGCTTTCCTTGGGTCATATGCAATGTTATGGATTAAAATTAAAATGCAGGTAGGTCTAATCATTTTCTCAAACTATACATGACTAAACTAAATGGTACACTGGAAGAGAGAGTCCACCTTATATGGGTGCTGAGAGTTGAATACACATATATCTTTTGATAGCTGTTCAACGTTAACTCAAGTCATGACAATAAGTAATATGAAAGCTTCTTGTTAAATTGTGTTCAGAAAAGGTAGTGATTGAGTCTATATTTCTTCTTTACATTAGTTGTCCACAAAGTAGTCAGATATAAAGTGAACATTTACTTCTAGGAAATCACTTTGATATTATAAAGAGTGAAAAATACCATTAAGAACTCTTGGAAATTCTCTTGGCTCTTTAATGTTACAGAGCTGTAATGAATTGAGTAAATCTGATAGTTTCTAAAATGTAGACATACTGTTCTCTTTTGTGAGTTGAGAAATATTTCCAACTGCTTCCTGATGTATCTAAAGTATTGTACAACATTTTTATTAGCATAAAAATTCCTTAGATGCTTTGTGGAGAATCTGTAAAATACTCTTCTCACCATAGACCTTCTCTAGTAGCAAATGGGTGCATTGAACAAATAAAACCTAAACTCATTCTACGTACTCCCTCTGATCAACATTATCACAATAATTTTCCAGTTAGATCAAATCACTGTTCTAGTCCAAGTAAAATTCTACTACATTTCATTTAGTTTTTTAGGCTTTTCCTTGAAGTTTCATATGCACTGTGCACTCTTAGGCAGTAAATAGAAAAAATGCATTATAAAACTGCTAGAATCTAGAAATTAAATTGTTTAAGTTAATAGTACTTCTTTATTAGTGGAAAGTATGTTTCATGCCCATAGAACACTACATAGCATAAAATGAAGAGAAAGCTACTAAAAAGCTCAGGATGGTGATAGGGACATGCACTAAATGGAAACCCTTTCAAATGGCTTCATTTGAAACATTCAGAAAAGAACCAGACTTGCTCATGAAACTAAAAACAGAGGTCAAAAGGCAGCAAATAAACAAGGCCCCTTTCCACCTATAGGAACTTGTATTGGGAGATACAAGATAGAGAACCAGTCACACTACAGTATTTGTTTGTGCTGGGAGAGTTGAAAAAGGATATAAAATTAATTCATAAAATACCTAAAGTATGGTCCTTCAGTGTTTTTATTCACATCTTCTACCCACTTAGCTACATTATAGTCTCTTTTGAACCATGGGTTTAAATACCTGCAGAAAGCAATGGAAGGAACAAAGAAAGCAGAACAAGATAGAAAATCTGAAAATACACAGCACAAGCTTAGCAAGGATGTCTTCACCCTCCAAATGCAAGTGACCATGGCAAATAAACCAGGATGGATGTTGGGTGATTATGAGGCAGTCTATACAATGACATGAGAATAATCTCAGCTACAACAAGGCTCAAGGCATTCTAGAACACATTTAACATTTCTGGGAAAGTCTTTTCCAGTGGCTTCCCAAAGTGAATCAGAAGCTCCCTTTCAATCACAGTACTGACAGCAGTCCCATTCACCCACCTCCAAAGTGGCTTTTTCCAGGGCACCTCTCATTTGGTTCCTTGGCTTTTAAATGATAACAGTGCTTTTTGAAAATAGTCAAATGGCTACAATTCCAGCCTGGCATTTGGACGTATTATACCCCAAGAACAGTTAAAAGGGGCAAAGTTCTCTTTTCAATATGAGAAGAAGGCTTTTATGGCACTGTCTTCCTCCCTATAGCAGATCCCAAGCTGGAGTCAACAAGAAAGTATGCTCCACTCAGCTCTGTGAGGAGCAGAAAGGGTCCTATTCTTCTGATCTGGGAGCCTTAATGCACATTAAGTGTGGTCCAAACAGGACTCCATGATCTTGAAGCTGGGTTTACTAATTTAGTTGCAGCTGTAATGTTCTCCCTCTTCTTTGTGCACTCTAGACTAAAGTGTTCTTGTTTCCACTAGGAAATGGCCCTCAGAACTTGTCTTTCAAGTGTCTGATCATGAGTTGTGTGAATGACTGCCAGAGAATAATAAAGGCCTTAGTTAGCATTTCCCTGATGGATCTGACAAAGTCTCCATCAGAATTACTGTGCAAATTTTAAAGGTAGTAGAACTGAAGATGCAAATTGTTTCTCCCCAGAGTTTCCTTTGATTTTTACCCGGGGAGCAAAGCAAAAACACATCTCTTTAAAATTTACCCTTGTAAAATAATATAGATTTAAGAAATTCAGTATTGGAAAAACCGGAACATCTTCCTAGGCCTTCTCATTCAAAAGTTCTCAAGATATTGTAACAATGAAGAGCCAGTCTCTATAAAACTGAAGTTATTTGGAACCAAACCAGGGGAAATTATAAAATACATTATTTGCTTTTGGTTAAAGTTTGCTTCTTTCCCCCACATTTAGTTTTCAAACTGTTTGTAAACACATTTAAACCAAGACTACATTTCCAGTTATATAAAATAATTAGGTTATTTTCCCCCAGTCCTTTCCCTTATTTTTAGTCATCACCAACGTACTCCACAAAATAACATCATGAAATTCCCTCCTGACAGAGGGTTTGGTTGCTTTTTATGCTTATAAGACCATTTTTGCTAAGATGATTTCTCCTGACTCATGAACAACTCATGACAGTTTTGCCTTTAGCCACAATCATTGCCAACTTGTGCTTTCACAGATAGCCAATTATAACTTGCATAAAGATTTTCACTGAGACTCTGAACAAAAAGAAGTCAAAAAGCAAGTGCAGCCACAGATGAAGGCTAGTGAATGCTCTGGCCTGGGGAAAACTGTAGAAAAAGCCCATGCAGCTGTAATCAGGTGAAATGTAGCCACACAGCAAACTGAGTCACCCACAGGCAGACAACCACTACTAGGAGGAGACATTTGTTCCTTTCACTGACAATCTTAGAAACTCAAAAAACTGGTGCCATGGCTGTTCCATGAATGCTACAACCACATGGCTTGATTTGCACCTGAAGGATTTTTTTCCTCCATCTCAGGGGGCAGTTTAGGCGGCTGTGATCACTTCACTATAGGCCGCTGAAATTAACTCTCAATTGCTTGTTCCTTCCGGGGATCTACCCATGAAAGTCTTCATAGTGAGTTTCCTAACATCTCAAGGTTGTGGTGGCTGGGGTGATGGGGTTTTATCCAACTGCAGTAATCCTGCCTAGGTGGCTGGACTTGGCTTATAGTGCAACATGCAAAAAAAAAAAAAAAAATGCATTAGATGGGGTAGGGGAGTTCTTTGTGTTCTCCAGGATGGAAAGGCAGAAGAAAATTAGCTGGTGCTGGCTGGACCAGAAGCACCTCCGAGCAGACATGGGGGCTCGGTCAAAGATCAAATGACCCTGTTCTCAGCCAAGGAAGGGATTTGGAGGAAAATTAAGTGGCAGCCCAGAATGGAGGGGCAGGTGGAGACTGACCTGTGATCCAGACTCCCTGTCTGGGGGCTGTCAGAGCCCCCTGGGCTTATGCCTTGGGATGGGACTGTCTGGGCGAGGGAGTGCCCAGGCTCAGGAGCTTGGGGCTCCCTCCTGTAAAAACACAATATATAATACAACGTCTAAGCCAAAAATTTTTTTACATTATGTACAACAGTGAGGAAGATGCAAAATTTGAGTGAAAAAACAATACAGTAAACAAGGACATTTTAATTTCTTAACTAACAGAGAATGCATTTGTGGTGTATGTTTTAATTCATGTCCCAATTTTTCATCATCTTTTGGGATGACGAGGTACTAAGAGGAATGTTGAAATAATGGACTTGAAACACCTCTTATTGTAAAAAACTTAAAATTATATGTTTTTCTGTGGTCATTCTGCTTCTCTTATAGTCACACAAATGGTATTATTATACCAGAAGCAAATGGGATTACTTAAATACGGAAAGTATAAAAAAATCTGTTGATATAATTCTTAATATGCCATGTCTCAGGAATCCTTATAAGAGGGGAAAAAAAGATATATATGCATGTATAAAGACAGACACAGTTTCCATACAAGAAGATATATGAGAATAGTGGTCAGCTTCACAGACTTGGCTCCATTTAATTAACATGAGTATGTAACCAAAATCAGAGAAGTCTGAAAAATTTGAGGGAGTCCTTAATACTTCTCCCTCACAAAAATTATTCTATTATAGTGTCTTATTAAATACTATAATTTAATTATCTCACAAGCAATATTTCTCAAAGGCTATTTGTAGTAGTATAATTTTTATCACATGACATAAGTGGAAAATTTATACATTTTAAAAAATAAGTGATTGCTCTAGAAAATATTATATGAATATTGCTAAACACCAAATGTTCTTTGGGTCCTAAAGTCGTAACTTTAATATACTACTGAATTTTTTTCACTTAGGAGTCTTCAAAGCCTTGTTATAGTAAATACTGTTAGAACACTAAACAATACACGAAGGAAGTTCTAAACAACATTTTGTGATTTTATCTGTACTCTTATGAGCAACTGAGATAAGTTAAGGAACTCTTACTAGGTGACCTCATGCAAAACAAATCAAACAACATTCCAAGAAGAGTTTATCAACAATGAACCCTAAAGCATCCAAGTGCTTTGGGAATATGTAAGATAAACTCTAACAGATTAGTTATTTACGATGAAGTTCTATGATGCCATTCTGGACCATGCAATGGTATTTCTTGAAATTGTCTATTGTTTCTAAGATAAAGTAACCTCTAGTAAACTTTGACAAGCCACTTACAAGACAATACCATTCAGGCGGAGGGTCCAAATTTCAGGGTAATGTTAATATTCCTGGACTGAAAAAGGCAGGGTATATGATGGAAAAGCTAACATAAGTTTTTGACAAGCAGTTAACAAATACCTGCTATTCAGACTTTTTAAGTATTGAGGCATGAAGAAGCAACAGAGATCCTGGAAATAACAACTACCATTACAGTGAGAAATAAGTAAAAACTTTTAGGTGGGTTAAAAAGTATGGGTAATTGAACCCGAGTGGCAAGGTCGGTCCTTTTGGATATTAAGGATGTGTTTTATTTCACCAGGGAGATAAAGGCTCCCTTGAGGAGGTTTTATTTCACTTGTACTTTCTTAAGTGGAGAAGCAAACAAACAAAAAAAAAGGACATGGTGTTTACTTCATTATAAATGACTTTAAATGTAACTTCCGACCCCACTCCCACTTAAAAAAAGTATGGCTATCATTTAAAACAGATAATGTTGCATTTAGTGACAATGATTTAGTTAAAGAGCAGGTTTAGGTAAATGCCCTTTTAAATGTCCTGAGAAAGAAAATTTAAAAGGGAAACTTATTCCATTAGTCTGAGAGAATGCTTAGATTGCAGCCATGAAGACCTCAGAGCAGTGGTTTCAGATTGTGAGCAGTATCATGCTCTAGTACGATGGGAATTTTTCCCGATGCTTTTAGGCTGTGTGAGTACTGGGGAGAGGAAGGGTAATCCTTTGAAATGACTGGACCCCAGGTGATGAGAAGAAAAGAATGTTATCAAAATTCCCTTCAAACAGAACCAAACCCCACAATGGCAGGTGACTGGAGGAAAAAGCCTGCAGCCAAGGTGAGACCCCCACTATCAGTGAATATTGGTATGGGCACAGTTGCGGAGATGCCTATGTAAAAGAGAAAAGCCATGGTTAATTTTCAAAGGGCCAAAAATAATTAAAAAGACAAAACCAAGACCAGAGGCTTGGTTTACGGTTCTTTGACTATCTGCTTAATTAACTTTTGATACTAATTGCACAAGACCTTGGAGTGCCTTTTTCCATTAGAGTTTCTGACTTACTCAGTTGAATTAGACCGAGGTCTGAATCTTTTGCCTCTGATTTTCTTTCTGTTGCCTCCCAGGTTACCTGAAAAAGATGGTTTAGAGCTAGAATTCCATGTAAATAAGCAATTGCCCTCTGTCTAATAACATGACATTTCAAATAGGTGCAATTCATAAGCACCCTGGAACACTGGGCTGCATGGTACTGTGCAGCCTTCTCAAAGAATCTGATGTCCTGGTGCTACCAAACCCCATCACTACCCATCCAAGGATGAAAACCAGACTCCTATTCTAGATACTCTCCTTTCTGTTGGGAAAAGCACTAAAGAGCTGCCAGGAAAGAATCAGTCTTCACAACCAGGGACCACAGAATATAGAACTTGGATTGTATGGACAGATGGAATCAGAATGCTAGGCTCTCTACCTTGCCAAGAGTTACTTCGAGGTCGCCCATTTTCACAGATGTCTGAAATATGTTTTGTGTCTGGAATCCTTTCACTCCAAGAATGAGAGAGCCCATTTGACCTGAAATGGAAAATATTGACATACTGTTCAAAAATGTAATCAAATGAATGTTTTAAAATCAGTAAGCAACATTTCTAAGCATTACTGTGCATTAAATCAAATAAATCGAGAAAGAAAAATCTGAAATGAAATAATGAAGAGAACATGAAAGTCTTCATGAAGAAGGCAGAATTACACAACATTCAATTTAAGAAAAGTCAAATACAATGGAACCCCATTACAATAGTCTATAAATGAAAAGTATCAAGACAAAATGCAAACCAATTTACATTCCCCAGAACACAGCAATCACATAGCAAATTCACTATGTATTTCAGTCATATAACCTCAGGAGCAGAGTTATAATGGGGTCCCACCGTAGATGTTTCTTAATTGTAAAGCAATGGTTTCCATTCAAATATTATGAGAACATGGACTTCCAAGAGACTACATTAAGATTTGCTCAATTGAACCTGGTTAACCTTTATCAAAGTAATATTTTTGTTTTCTTAAATGACAAAATTACTTTCTGAGAATTGGCATTTTTCTCCACAAGTATGGTCCAAAAAAATATAATGCATGTTGGTTAATTGTCCAATAACAGAACTGAATCAGATGTTTTGCCTAAAAGAATCTCTCACAAAGCCCATGTACCATTGAGCCCTTTTGCTATTTGTGTCCTACCATCTTTAAATGATTTGGCAACAAGAAGCAAAATTTACACACCTACCTTGTAACACACAAGAAATGATTTTTTTGTTTGTTTTTGAGAAAGCAGGATTTATTGAGAGGACAGAAAAGTTCTCACATTTGGGAGGGGACCCGAGGGGGTTGCCCAGAAATAAATCTTGACAAATTCCATATACTTAAGAGATGTCTAATGATTTGATGCAAATTATGACTACTTAAAAATAATAATCCATTGATATTTTTCTAAAATATAGGAATTATTCAAGTGGATATTTTAAGCTCTTTTGTAGGTACTTTAGAAAATAGCACTATACTTAAAAATCTTTTTCACATATTATTCTAATTAATTGCTAATAATGTCTAATTTAAAAGGAACCATCTACTGATGAGTGAAAATAAATGAAATTCAGCACAATGATAACATATTAATTCCTTAGGTTGAAATTTTTCAACATAATTTGCAACTTATAAAATGATTCCTATTTTGTACAAAAGGGCAACAAAAAATCTGCTGGAACTCACTGGTTTCTCTCCACTTATTTACTATGTTATTTAATGTCAAATTTAATATTTGATCAAGAAAATATTTACAAGTGAGAATTCAAGTAGATCCCCAATCTTCTTCTTCTCTTAACCAATAAGCCCTCAATAAAATAATAAATTTTTAAAAACAACATCCTTCTATAAAACTGTACTCTTTGGGCAAAAACTAGTGTTTCTACTTTTGCTTCAAGCTATGTTATCTAAGTGAAAACTGTCCTTCATGCTTAAGAAAGTTCCACATAGTGTTCCCAGATCTGATTAATTCCTTCTATTTTCCTTTCTGATTAACGTTTATAAAGACTGAGAGTCAGTGCAGAATATTTAAAGATAATTTGCTCTATATAGAACTCCAGAGCAGACCATATTTCCTATCAATAACTAGTAATTTTCCCTTCACTCTACAAAGTAACTAAGGTGCCCAAAGTGAAGAGCAGTGCTACCAAACTTTTTTCCCTAACCATTACACCCTTGTTAGCAACTTTAAAACAATTCTTCCACAAGAATATTTTAGCTTCCTTCAATGAGAATATAGGTCTCATTCCCCAAAATAGTCCAACTATTTATTTCTTCCATTCATTTAATTTATTAAGCGATTATAAAGCATGCAAAATTTTAAATGGTGTCACAACACCTTAAGATGCTAGAATAGCAATATAGCATCAAAGTTTAAGACACAAATAATATATTAATTCCATCTGTACTATTATAAAACTCAGACTAATATTAAGCATATTTAGCTTTTCAACTAAGATAAATTATAGTCTAGAAATAATCATCCCAGAAAAAAACGCAGTCATCATATTCAAATATATGATTCACAGAGAAGCAATCTTTGTTTCACAGCGAGCTTAGCTTTGATATATATATATATATAATTTAAAAATATTCAATGCAGCACTTATATCACCAATTTATGTTAACAACTGCTTTTATTGAAGCATGACAGTAACCTTTTTCTTTGACTACCAAACATGTCATAAAGCTCACCATTTAAAATATTATTAAATACTACGTATAGTTTCTTAAGCCATGTAAGAACAAGACTGAAAAACCCTAGGGTTTCTATATAGATTTAGGGCTATTGCCTGTTTTGTTTTGTTTCAATTTTGTGGCCTGATTTGTATAACAAGTGGTTCTGAGCATATGGCATTTAGAAGTAGAGTAATCAAAGAACAAAGGATACTATTTTTTAACATTCAAGAAAGAAGGAAGAAGTAATCAAACCTGCTGCAAAATAATGAAATGTTCTGACTAATGGAATAATGTGTGATGGAACAGGTAGAAATCTGAAAATGCGACAGAAAAGCAGACCTCTTCTTAGAACTAGATGCTGAGTTTGTGCTGACTCCAGGAGGAATGTCGCTATAAAAAGAGTCGCCATCTCCAGGCTTTTTTACATAATCTCCCTGGGGTAACTGTCTAAGGCATAATAAACATTTCAAAGTCAGAAAACAAGACACACACATGAACACAGACATATACAAATATTATTTCAGGAAAAAGAGAGGTAGGGATAATGATCTACATGAATCAAATCTATAACAACACGTAAGATTATTAATAAATGTGACAAGTTAAAGTCATTCTAACTATAGAGGTCAGAAATGCAATCACGGAAGTCTTTATAGTTTGAATGAACAAAGCCTTGCTTTAGGGGAAAAATATGGAAAGATGAGTGTTTCATTGTAACCTCATTATACTTGGAGATGTTGATGGCAATTTTGTCTTCCAAAAAAAAAAAATGATGTTGAAGAAGATGTGTTAGGACAGCCAGTTCCAGCAGATTAAAGCATAGATTTTTTTGTTTTTGTTTTTGCTTTTCTTCCACTATGGTAAATAAATTAAATATGATTTCTAAATTTTATATACTGTATCCTGGATTTGGTCTTAGAAGAACTGATTGATTTCTCAGCTATTCTATAATTTAATCCAAATAAACCCTTATCAGAGCTTGGGGTACAATTTAGAGGATCATTGTTCATTTAACAGAAATATGAGGAAATTGAAAAAGATACAGTTGAATCAAAAAGGCAATTTTATAACTGTTCAGTAAAATATGTAAAAGTACATAATTTAGCAAGAGAAATAAAGGGTTGAGAGAAAATAACTGAATTTTTGTTAAGACTATAGGAGGATATTGATAGGTAGTTTGGTGAGCAACCTGAGTTGCCTAACTACACTGTATTAGAAGTGTGCAACAGGAGCTTTGGACCCCCTCCCCTACCTTGGGGAGGTAAATCTCCTCTTTCTCTCTAATTTACTTTCTAAATAAACTATATGTTCTAACCTCAAAAAACAACAACAACAACAAAAAACCGAAGTGTGCAACAAGGAACGGTCTGCCCTGTTACTGACTCTGCTAATCTGATTTTTCATTAGCTTAGATTGGAATACATTTTTATCACTTCTCCTAAGGCAAGTATATAGAAAGTTTTAGATAGGGCCCCAGTCAACTCTCCTGCAGTAGCTAATCTGGTTATTTGTCAATGTGTGGCCCCTAACAGCCAACTATATTCAAAACTTTAGTTATATTCAGTACTATTGTTGGAGGTGCCACAAAATAGTGCTGAACTCAGAATTTTAAACAGAGCTAAACTTATTAAATCTTCCACAAAAACACAAATGTGTTAACTTTTTTCCTATTTGGTTTTGTTTCTCCTTATTTGTCATTATAGTCTTGGTTACTTTCTGATGTTAACTTTTAACCCAAAAAATGCCTCTTTCAGAGGTTTGCTTGTTTATATTGATTCCCATGTTGCAAATGTTTAAAATACTTGGTCCTTTGAAATACAGGTATTGATCCTTTAAAATACAGGTATTGGATGAATACCTTCTCCCATATTATTTTAATGCCATATATTCACATATCTCCACAAATCTAAAAACGATTTTTCAATGGGTAGAAAACATACATTTTAATTTGTGTGATTTAATCTACTTCTCACTTAACTAAAAAACAGTAGAATTTCTCACAAAATTACTATGTAAGACAAATTCCACCTACAACTCTTTGATATAGGTTCCTCCAAAAGTTAATTCCATAAGTGACTTCAGCTCATTATGCATTATGAAATATCAATTTTGTAGGAAAAATAATATGACCTCATATGTAGTTACATGACAAATAGTATCTCTCCATTCAAAAGCCCTTTGATTTCTATAATCATATATTGTTTTACTTCATATCAGTAAAATATCCTAGCAATACTTGAAAAAATGCTCTCAATAAAATCAGAGTTCTATATATTGCCTTGAGGAGAGAACTTCCCTTTTGCATCATAAAAGAATCTCATAAACATCACATTTCCAACAATAATCTTTAGAGTTACGAAATCCTTTTTGTCTCCTATTACCTTTAATGATAATCTTTACAAGCTGATGATATGTGCCTCACCAAATTCAAATTAAATAAAGACAAGGTATTATGTAAGAGCTCCGAACTACACTTGACTTTACCCATGAGTCTATCCTTCACTTTCCATGGGTCCAGCATCCTGGCATTTGCCCTGGCAATTACCAAGGCCTCACTTAGCTATACTGAGACATGAATGGCCTGCCTTTCACAACAGATGGGATCCAGTTGTGTTTTGATTTTTAACTGAGCACATTGTACCATCCCTTCAATGTAACTTCTCTGTTGCCCATGGTCATTTTTTATACAGTGCCCAAACATCCTAAACACTGAATATATCATAAACTATGAGCTTCAGTCAAGGGGTCTTAAAGGAGTTTCAGTTCAATGTACTTCTGGAGCACTGCCTCAATTTTATCACCCAAAGCAGATAAGATCCATGTCCTTCTCCATTGCAAAGTCTCCAAAACACAGAAACTACATCACTATACTTCCCATTCCACAAGGAATGCGTATAACTTTCTTCACATAATAAATGTCAATAATAGATTATGAATTTTGTTAAAGATCTCTTAATAATAATATTTAATGGCCTACATTATCCAGAAATATATCCTTTTTAACGATACTCATTACATATTATTTAAAAGCCTATTTTTTCTTGCTTTAGTGAAGACAGAGAATTATCAGGTCCCTGCAATCAATAAAATAACTTTTCATTATTTGTCACAAAATATCATAAATGATCAATTAAATTATCCTTTTAACATTTTAAAAAAATTTAACTTCTTTTTCTAGTCCTTTATTATCTTTATTAATTTCTTCCTAAATTTTGAGTGTCTTCCTTGTTTCATCAAATTTTGGAAATTAAAAGTGGTCATCACACTAGGTGGCCTGATCAATGTTAAATTTTATAATGGGAAAATTCCCTCATATTTTTCCTATTATATGCAAATATTTTAGACATATGAATGATTTTTTGGTAAACAACAACCAAAATAAAATAAACACTTATGTAACTAAGTATTTTTTCCTCCCAAAAGACCCCTTCCTACATTTATTACAAGTTGTCTTTTTCTTCCCTGTAAAACCTCAGCAATTCATTCTGTTTTCAATTGATATATCCCATTAAATAACATTGATTTGAAGGTTTTCCTAATCTCCAAGATAAGGATCAACTCCTTTAACTTAATAATTCTGGAGGAGTTGATTTATACAAACTGAATTTATTATTTCTCTCCAGGTCTACAATACCATGCTTATTGCTTGCTTGTTCTAATTCTACTTCAGAAGACAAAGACAGTACAACTCTTAATGTGTTCATAATTATAAATCACCGAGTTTTCATGTTAGCATTCTAAATTTAAACATTAAGTAAGGCTGTTTCTTGGATCAATCCAAAATCTTTAGGTAAATGGTTGGTGTTGTTAGGAGAGAAGAATGATCTTTCCTAAAAGCTTCCGCTGATTTATAGTATTTATCTTAATAACCCTTAAGATAATAAGGATTATTAAAATAATCCTTAAAATGAGAGAAATGAAAAAAAAATTTAACCAAGTCAACTTTAATGCTGAAGGAGGCATTTCTCCAATGCTTGGTTGGTATCTGGGCTGTCTCTTACTGGAATTCTTAATTAACTATTTTAAGATATACTGTATAACGTGTACCAAGTCACATTGACAGATGCATAAATATCACTGAAATAATAATAATAATATAAAAGAAAACCAAGGAAGGTTTGAAAAAAGGTTAGAAGTTCACAAGCAGAAAATAAAGTGGCTTAAAACATGTGAGAGAGGAGAGAAATGGGGTAGGGATGGGGTTCCACTTAAAGTAAAACCATACATCAGAAAGATATGATCTAATTATTTATTCTATTTCTCATTAATCATAATGATGTGTTCATTTCAGACAAAGGAAGATAATAAGATTTCAGCTGAATATAGATGCTTTATAAATCTAAGTTCTTATTCTATTGCTATTTGCAAACCTGCCCTGAAAACTAAAACCCACTTTTAATTCTTGTTATTAACCACAAAGCTGTTAAGTCCTAGAGTAATTATGCTATCATGTAAACAATAATGTCAACCAAAAAAACTGTGGAAGCTTTCTTTCCTGAAGATTTTAAAGAAAAGGATAAACAGCCATCCATCTAATTACTGGATGTCTCATTGCATCCTTCTAATTACTGGATTCCATAGATCCACTCCTCACACGATGACACTGGCAGATTTAAAGCGATGCTGTACGTGTGTGGGGTTCTGCCTCCACTATGCCCCAGAATGGGGCTTCTACTTTTTTATTAAGTAGTTTGTAAACAAAAAGGAAAAAAATGGGTCTGCTTCTCATCTTTCTGTCAAACTTGCAAGTAGACGTGTAACATAATCCTTCAATAGGACACATTCTCAGGGAGAAAAATTTATTTGGTTATCACATTCAGTCACAGAATTACTTGCCTGTCGTCTCCAATAATGTGAAAGCTATGCCCAGCTTGGTATTTCTGAGCCATTAGAACATTAATAAGAATCTGATAACTGGCTATTGATTTAATATGTCTTATATTTAGTATCAAAGCAAAATTGTATGTATCAACACTTTCACCAGCTCAGCCAGTATGTGTGGGCCTCCCTCATGTCAATGAATATAGTGCTGCCGTTCCCTTTGAGAACAACCACATCCACCTCTTTTGTTAAAAATCAGAGAAACACAGTCTTCCAAGATCACATACTAACAACTGCTCTTCACCATAATGTTGTACAGATGACAAGGAACCTTATTGATTTTAGAGTTCAGAAAGTTTAAGTGATTTTTCAATACCACATGCTAATAGATTTCTGATTCCTTGTTGATTGGTTCTCCTACCATAGAACCTCAAAGAAAAACCTAATTTAAAGGCAATGACTCTTCAAAATTCTTAACTCTACTTCCTGATATCTTTTGGAATTGAGCCAATCTTTATTTGAATGTCTGCAGATATTTTTACAATATCGAAAGTCATAATACATGCTTTGGTCTCTTGGCCTCACCATTTTCTCTATAATCACTAACATACTTCTCAAAACAAGAAATCCTTTTCAAGATACTAATACATTTATGACTTCCTGATCTAAAGTCTATTTGCTACTCCTCCATATTGAGAACTATTGTACAAACTTAATATTCATTAGCTATGGGAAAAGGCCAAAAACAAGGATTGTATTGAAATATACCAAAAATACATAAAAGTAATACCCACTGAAGATGTGGCAACTTCCAAAATATATACTAGATTCCAAAAGAGTAGCAGATTGATGAAATGATGACTCAGTAATACTAAGAGATATGAAATTATATTAGGCACATAAGGGAAATTATTAATGTGGAAATGTCCTTAACTACACCTATGCATATGTTGAGTTAGAATAAGAAATTTGTACATACTTGTAATATTAATCATTTTTTAGTGTGTGGGTAATTCCCTTATTCTAGAAAGTATCTTACAGCAAAATAAGATTAGTTTTGCTTATGTTACATATTTGAGATATTTTACGTTCCTTTTTATACATGCAGCCATATTAAATTACATCATAGCATTAGCTCCTATGGAAATAAAGCTGAATCATTAATTTTTTATCTTATTTGCCTCATTGTATTTTCTATTAAAGAAAGACACCAAACTTAGATTTCTGATATTCCTAATCAACTTCTATTCAACAGAAAGCCTAAATGGCTCCTGGTCTACTCAAGTGCTTGAAATGGACACAAGAGTTTAAAACATGTCATGGAGAAATCTAGTGGTTTTAAAATGTAATTAATTTTGTCTCCATTCTATTTTTTTATTAATGAAGAATTAGTTATTTTAGGACAAGGTCAATATTTTCTAATATCTACATTAGCAGACCAGAATTTCAATTGGTACCTGAGGGCACCATATATTTATACTGATTCTATAGATACTTATGGCTAAAGCCTTAAGAAACTTTACATTCAAGCAGAAGAGTAAAGTTTAAAATTCTGATTTATGGGAAAAAAAAGAAAGCTGTGGTTGGAGCCTAAGAAAGTATCACCATGTTTTTATTACACCTTATTTGTAATATGCCACAGACATTTAATTGAACAATGGGAAAAGCTAAGTAAATAGGAATCTGTATAAATACCTTAACACAGAACTAAATTCTATATGATGTGCAAGACCTGGTCTGGGTTGTCCCTTTCCAAGATAACATTTTAATATTTTTTTATCAACAGCTAATAGCATTAGCAACTTTTTAAATGTGAAAAGCGAAGGGTGCATTCCAATATTATGTGCTAATTTAGATTTAGATAAAAGGGATCATTGTTATAGTACAACATAAATGCTTTGTATCTCTTTTTATGCTGCTGGTTAAACATAGATTTAAAGGTTATGATGAACAAGATGTCCGACTTTCTAAAAAATACAGGCATTTTTATTTTTTAAAAAGTACATAAGACTATAAGAGATTCCAACAATGCAAATTCTTTAACTACCTGTGGGATTCCCTAATCAACACACAAAAAAATTTTCTTATGTGGAGATAAACAGGCTTATCAAGTGCTGGAACGTTCCCCTGACAGCGACACTGCCCAAATAAACTTTGTCACTTATGAATATAACAACAGTAACAAACAAAAAATAAATTCCCTCAGAAAGTATTAGGCAATAAGAATGTTATAAACATGAAAGAAAGCCAATACTAATGTAAACAAATATGACACCTTAACATAGAGAAAGTTTGCTTTAGATGGAAAAAATATCAATTTCTATACATATATATTTAACTATAAAAATAACACAAATAAGAATCTCTACTAATTGTAGTATTACTGGATAAATGAACCACTAAAATTAAATAATGACAGATCTATTTTAAATTAATATATTTTATAGCACCATAATTAAAATTATAATTTCCTCATGAAAAATCATGATTAGTATATAGTCATTATAGCATACAAGGTGAACTTGATTTACAATTGTATACATAAATTCCAACTATGTTAATAGGAGTTAAACCTTTCAGTTATATATTCAGATTATTCTCATCACATACCTCTGTTCTCGATAGTTTCTTTTCATGATTAAGGAGAAAAAGAGGGGAAAACACAAGAATTAGTTACACATGGAAGGACACAAACATAAAAGCTCTAGCATTCATTGGAAGGTCTTACTAGAGGATTTTGAATTCCAGAATTAAAATAGGGAATGTGCACACAAAAATTTCACTTTATCATTTGGAGAGGCGACAGAATTAGCAACAATATTGTCATCTATATTTAAAAGCATAAATAAGCTTGAAATCATTAAAGAGTAACTATTTCCTCAACACCAATTGTACTGCACTAAACATTTAGTAGTGTTTAAAAGTCAATCCTATTTCAAATCCAGGACATACATTAATTTAAATAATAAAATTAATGAATCAAGTTACTTATATAAATTAGCTGTATTTTCATAGAAATATGAGTAATAATGCATTCTTGTTGGAATAGAAACCTCAAGCTATAGCCATTTCTAAGAATTCCAAATAGAAGAACATAAATGTACACCAGAATATTTTATTTGATCAGGTATGATAAATAGAAGCTAATTCACAGCTGCTATGGATCTCCTAAGTTATTACTACTTATTCACTAAAGCTTCATATTAGTAACATCTGTTCGATGTTTATTCTGTTTTTTATTTGACTATCAGTTACAAAATTTTGCTCTGAAGGGTGCGGTACTGCATTAACTGACTATTAATTGTTAACTTTCTTTTTTTATTGTAATTTTTATTTTACTTTATTTTATTTTTTGTAGACATGGGGGTCTTGCTCTGTTGCCTAGAATGGACTTGAACTCCTGGCCTAGAAAGATTCTCCCACTTCAGGCATCCTTCTACCTCAGCTTCTCAAAGTGCTGAAATTACAGGCATTAGCCACTGCAACTGGACCAAACTGTTAGCTTTCTATCTTGGCATAATTAAGTGTTAGGATTTTGAAGACATGTTAGAAAGGTCAAGCAACTGAATAATTTGAGTTGTTTTCAGTAACATCAAGAAAAATGTTTCCATATGGATTTTGTTCGTAGTACCCTCGTCTTCCAATCTAGTCCATCTAAGTATTATGTTTAATAATGGGCACATGGGAATAAAACTGCCAATTTGTTATTATTTTTCATTCTGAAAACTATCAGGTTGGAGAAAAATAAGCCTGATATTTTTCTATTCAACATTTTTTACTTTTTATTCCCTGAATCTGATTGCCTGAACTGTGCAGTTCCAAATGAACATTCCAAATTTCTTATTACTGCTATTTCCCCCACATTAAGGCTTGGAGAAGATGTGGAAAGTTTAATTGAAAGGACTAATAAGAAAATTAGTTCTCAGGTCTTAAACCTGTTTTTCAATTTCAAATAGAATATGTGAAACATCATATTCATAAATTTAATTTCTTTATTAAAATTTCTACATTCTCATTCTATTTTAAACATATTCTGATAATTTTAGAGACATTAAAGATTTAGTCATTTAGATTCAAATTATTAAAAAAGAGAACGCTACAGTATGAGCAAGATGTGTCTTTTTCCTAAATCTGCTAAGAACATATATTCAGAAATGAAAAATCTCAGAAGAATGTTATAAAAATAAGAAGTCACATACAGAAAGAAGTACCTTTAATTCTAAATCATTAAAACAAATATACACAAGTAATTTCATAAGTAATAGGAGTAAGTGTTTAGGTTTCATATTTTCTGAAAGTTAAGTTTTTCCAAGATTGTCAAAATGAAATATCTACTTGTATTAGTAGCTGGCAGAAAATCACACACTACAGAGGTAACACTTTTCCTTTCTGTTTTCATGTGACCAAATGAAACCACTGAGCTACTTCAAAACAACAATGCTCATGATAGCAATTATGATTTCAGTCCTGCATCAGGGAAGTCGAGAAATGATGTAACTCCAAGATAGGACTAATTAACCTGTGGTGTGAGGAGAAATCAAATGATAAACAGAAATGTGTTCCTTTCAGACATATAATTCTGTAACTCCAAATCTTATGCTGAAGACAGACTGTGTGAATCTAAGTGGGCGATATACCTAATAGCCTGCACACCAAAGAGGCCCATAGGTACTGAGCATCTGCTATGAACTGGTACTCACTCGGGGCAAAGATGACCAGTGCGTTGTTCTCTCCTTCACTATGCTATGCTATTTCCTCTATTCTAAGCTTTTCAATGCTGTATGTCCGCTTATCTTCCACAGATACCTGTATTTTAATGCCTGTGGCATACAAAATTTACCCTGGAAGTAAACTACCTGCTCTCCCTTTTCAGTCAAAGATGCTCTTTCGGGTTTTTGACCTCACAAGCAATTGCCATATACACTTTTAAAGGTGTTTCCTTTGATTCAATTGATTTAAAAGCATACCAAGTGATATCAGGGATGTTGATAATAGCAATCACATAGTACTTACTCTGAGTGTTTACTATATTAACTTAAAGAACAAAGATGAGTTTATTGAAAGGTATGGCATAATTTTAAAGTCTAAAATAGTCTAATTCCCAGGAATTTTAGTGGCCTAAGTTTGATCCATGAGGAAGAATATTTCCATGAGGAAAATGCCAGGTATTCAAAAAAAAAAAAGGTGCAGGTCTTCCAAATGGAGAAAAACCCTAGGCCTGCAGACTGGAAAGTCATCATCAGAGATCAGGAGAATATGATTTTAAGTTGAAGTATTAGAGAGAAATTAAGGTTCACCATATTTAAATTTTCACTTATTAAAACTGAAATTAGTTATTTAAATACTAAGGAAATTTTTCACATTGTAAGAATGAAGTACTTAAAAATGAAACTGAATACTCTGGTTTCTCTTCAGATCATGTAAATCATAACAAGAGAATTGAACACATTAAATATATAAGTAAGTTTAGAATATTTGAGGCATTTACTTAGCAAAATGTTTAGGGGTATCAAATACTATTCAAAAGTTGTATGACATTACTTTTTAAAAATATATATAGGACCAAAAAAATTGTAAGTTGAATTGAAACTTAAGAAAGAATCTGACTTTTCAAATTCGTAACTTGAGGTTAAATTTTAACTAACAGATGAAATCTCACAACAGTCTTTTGCTCACACAAATACATTCACACATTGAAAAAATAATAGTGTCTCCTTCATAAAGTTATGAAATAAAGAGATTTTGCCCTTAGCATGATGCATGGACATAGCAAACAGTCAGTAACAGACATGGTAATATTGTTCTTATTGTTATCACTGTTGTTATTGCCACTGTTAGTAAACCACTAAGCTCTCTAACAGACTGTCTTGCCTAGATTTTAGGGTATGGGTTTAAGTCAAGAGATGTTCTATCACATATGAGCAAACAAACTCAGCCTTTTTATAAGACATAATTTAGACTGATTTTTAACTCACTTCATTGATTGTAAAACAATATTCAGTACTTTCAAAATAGAAGGAAGTTGTCTCAAAATCTAAAAAATGATCAATTATTATTACTTCTAACCATGCCAAGAATAATCATTGGTTGACTACTGAGTCAGGGTGATTTTCATTGCAAGTATATTTATCCAATGATATAAAACTTTCTAGATGTTTTCATGTAATTAAAATGTTTACAAGTATATTTTGATAGTAACAAGACTGAGACAATTAACTTACTTATAGCCCCACGCAGTTATTCCTAAAATGAGGGCCAGCACTAAAATGGTGCCAGCAATTATGCCTATTATGATATTGGTGCCAGCAACACCTGGGAGGAAAAAAAGAAACAAGGAAAATCGGTGATACACAATTCTTTCAGGACATTTATTCTCCAAACTTGTAATCATCACACAAATAACACTATCTGTTTTTATAAATGGGTATTTTTCAAAGGAAAACAAAATCAACCATCATTCAGCAATCCACATCAATAATTTTTTTAAAAAATAATTTCTGGTGTATGTTTCAATATTTATTCCTGTCCGAGTGCATTTTCACAGTTGTATTTTCCATGTACATTTCTGAAAAATAACTCATTAAACTAAAAGAGGGAAGAGTAATGATACCAAAAAGGGTATGGGGGGGAGGGGGATGTTACTACATATAGTGGCATACTACCCTTTAGGGAGGAGCATGTAGAAAAATCTGTGTTCCTTTTGACCCTTAGCACTTAGAAATTCTAAAAATGTTATTGTGCATATCACTCCATTATTACAACTAAAGCAAGGTCCTTATTCTCTCATTTGGGTGCATGTGTGTGACAGTTTGTCTCTCAAAGTGAATATAAGCTTTTTAATGGAGAAAACTTTGTCTACAGGCTGGTATCATCGGTGGTGCAAATGATAACAGAACTGGGCTTGTAATTCCCACTCTGGGCAGGGATGGCTGTGGCATTCTAGAAAAGGAAAGCCCACAGGAAAAAAGAGTCTAGTAAGCTGGAGACTGGTGTTGTTGTGGCATGAGAGGGAGGCAGTGTCAGACTGACAGAGACAGGCAGGTAGCATCCAAGGCAAGGCCAAAGTTCAGGACTCAGTGATGGTATTGTGGTATAAGCATCCATTGTCAGACTGGCTGAGGTGGAACCCTTTAAGACAATCTTGGCAGCGAGAATGGCACAGTGAGTCAGGCTTGGTCAATAAGCTTGGGGGCCCAAGAGCAGAAAAGGCTGATCTGATTGTGATCTTGCTCTGACATGGGAAACCCATTTTGGTGATAATGATTTATACCACATGTTTAATGGCAGGGCTTTCATTCAGAGCAACTCAGATCCCTCCTTGTCTGCTGCACTCCTGAGGCATCTTTCTAGACATCAAAGGTTAGTAATCGTGGGCAACTGGAGAAATTCCAATTCCCCATGATAAAAATGCAAGTCTCTGTCTAGGAGCCCTCAGCAGTCATGTCAGACAGCAGGGCTAGGGCATCTGAGCAGACTGATGGATTCCAACTTTCCAGGACCTTGAGGAATGGGTAGATGCAGATGCCAGAGGATAACCTGTGTAAGGGATGTTCTTACTCTAAGACCTAGCACGTCTGTCCTCCCTTCCTTTTCTTCTAGGGATTTAACAGGGACCGATAAACTTAGATGCTAGTCTTATTATTTTGAAGTAATGACTTTTTTTTTTTTAAGTTGGAAGGTCACTCTATCACCCAGGCTGGAGTGCAGTGGCACAATCACAGATAATTTTTTCATTTTTCGTAGAGACGAGGTCTCACTATGTTGCCCAGGCTGGTCTCGAACTCCCAGACTCAAGCAATCTTCTCACCTTGGCCTCCCAAAGTGCTGGGATTACAGGCATGAGCCACTGCACCCAGGTGATATGACTTTTGACAAGCCACTTAAATCTATGTACTTAATATCTGCATCTCTGCATTAACTACTGGAACGAATTTCACATTGTCATTGCTAAGACTGAGGACTCCAAAATCTTAATCACCCTGTGGCTTTCTTTATAAAAGTCATATTAGCTAAGACTTTTTTTATCTGTCTGAATGATTGGAATTAACACATTCCTTTTTCTAAACCTTCAGAGGTAAACGAACTTCATGATTTGAGCATTATTTCATGCAAAAGAATACTCAACAACAAAATGAAGAAAGTTTAAAAGGACAAGTCTCCAAGTTCTTTCAACTATGTGCATTTAATTTCTACTTCTCCATTTGAGTCTCCCTAGCTTTTAGAACTACACCTATTATTTCTTATCTATGTCCTTAAAATCCTTCCAGACATCTTGGCCAAGGTTACTACTTCTAACACAGGCTACTGAATTGGGGTTGAATATCAGCAAATGCTATTATAAAGAATATTAAAATAATAAATTAGAAATAAATTATTCAGTTGTTTCTTTTTCTTATTTAGTCCCAAAATATAAACGTCTCCCTTTAAATTCAGACAGTTAAGAGTTATGACTACTTTCTTCATCTAGAAGAAATGTTAGGGTTTGTTGATAGCCTCAGACAAGTATAATACTTGAAAAAATTTCAGTCTGTAGTAAGACAAGATAAGGTTAAATCAGTAGTCTCAGTTACATGCAATATTATGTATCATTATAATCTAATGGAAATGATCAGTTTCACAAGATAGACTCCAGTTATAATTTATAATTCATTATTATATGGATATAATGTTTTTTATCATAAAAATAACTTAAATAAAAACGTCCAAATGGCAGTTTATAAAGACTAAGTAATAATACCAAATTAAGTACCTACCATTGCCAGACAGAGTGATACCAGCCTTTGCATCATCATTGTGAGGGAAATAAGTGTTGCAGTCAGGACCTATCCAGTGTCTGTTACACACACACTTCAGCTCATTACTGCAAACCTGAAATTCAAAATCAAGCTAGAGTAAAAGTCAACTTTGGTACAGAGGCATGAAAGATAAACATTAATTTCTAATTATCATAAGCTTAGATTTTGACAACACTGAAATATTATTGGTACTTTCTTGCTAATACTAATTACCTTATTTCTTACTTCAGGGCCTAAAAAAAATTTCTACGGACCAATGATTGACCCAAAATGAACAATAAATTTTAACAGAGGAATCGATCTACATCTTTTTAAACAAATCAATAAAATTATTATTTTCTTTTTTCTTTTTTTTTTTTTTTTAAGTCAGGGTCTTACTCTGTCCCCCAGGATGGAGTGCAGTAGCATGAACATTACTCACCGCAAGTTTAACTTCCAGTGCTCAAGCGAACCTTTGGCCTTAGCCTCCTGAGTAGCTGGGACTACAGGCATGCACTACCACACCTAGGTAATTTTGTTTTGGCTTTTATTAACTTAAATTTTATGAAGGATATTTTTTAAAACTAAGCAGAAATACAATCACCTATCAATTATCCAATCAAAGCCTTTTGTTTTCCTTCCAAAGTAAGTGTCTCTGTGCAAAAATCTTATTAATGAGATAAATGAAATAAAAGAGAATGAGATACATAAAGTTCGACAAAGAAGTGAGGAGACCTGATGTTTTGCAGTGGTCTGAGAAGAAAACTTCAGAAGGCTATATTACCTTGGCACCTCACCTCAACCCAAGTCACAGCCTTAGGGTCAGGGGAACTAAGAACGCCTACAGATAAAACATTTTTTAAAAATTGACAGCTTTTAATACTATAAGGAAAGGACTGACAGTGGTGGGAAACTATTGGGGGGGAGGGGAAGGGAGGTGGAATTAACGGTACTAATATTTGTTTGGGGATGGGGAAACACCCCTTATCAACAAGGGTGCCTGAACGAAGCATATTTGTATACCTAACCCTTAACTGTACCCCACAATATCAAAATAAAAAATATTGATATAAAAAAATAAATAAATAAAAATTAACAACTTTTTTTTTTTAAGAGTGAGGTCTTGCTATGTTGCCCATGCTGGTTTCAAACACCTAGGAGCAAGCAATCCTCCTGCCTGCCTCTCAAGCAGCTGGGATTACAGGCATGAGCCACCACATCCAGCTACACCAAAATTTTAAAAATTATAGGAAAATAATCTCTTCACTTACTCATCCAGGAAACAGAATTTACATCTATATCATATCATTCCAAACAACTCAATGGAGTGAGAATTAGGAGTGGATCAATTTAGGTTCAAGATCATTGAATTTCCTCCCACAGCAGGTTTTCACTACAGGGTTTTCTGTCTTATCTGAACTAATTTTCAGGAAACAACATGCATTCACATCTAAATATAACTTTTTATTTATTTATTTATTTATTTATTTATTTATTTATTTATTTATTTATTTATTTATTTTTGAGTTGGAGTCTCACTCTGTCGCCCAGACTGGAGTGCAGTGGCCACTCCCGGCCACCGCAGCCTCAACCTGCTGGGCTCCAGTGATCCTTCCGCCTCAGCCTTCCCAGTAGCAGGAACTATAGGCGTACGCTACCATGCCCGGCTGATTTTTTATTTTTATTGTAGAGATGAGGTCTCGCCAAGTTGCCCAGGCGGGTCTCGAACCCATGGGCTCAGGCAATTCACTCAATAAATATAACTTTTTAAAAAGCCCCATTATGAGCTACAGAAGAACAAATATGCAGAAAAAAAGGTTTAGGCTTAAAATCAAAAGGCCTGGATTAGAGTCCTCATTTCACTCCTGTTTTACTAAGGGACCTTAATCAGGTCACCTGGCTTCTTCAAGCATCAGCTTCTGTATCATTGAAACTATCTTTGTAAAATTAATATAGGGCCACAGGATAAAAACTATAGAAAAGACCTTAACACTACAAAGTTGCAGTTATGGTTAGAAATTAACAAATCTGTTGTTTCTGAATTTGCTTTTATGTCAATAGAGAGCAATTGATTATCATGTCCTGACCTCTGGGGAGAGGGGAGGCTTCTTGTAAGGTTGATAAACGTATCTTCCCTTAAATAATGAGCCCCAGATTGTTCAAATCTCCCTGATGGCATCCTGAAGTTTGATCCCCCAAAGGTCAAAAGAGAGCAGGTTTAATCTCTGGGAACTTACCTCCTGCATACCTCATCTCTGCAATGGCTTACTGCCAAGGGCCAGTCATGGACTTGCTGTATAGATACCCTCTCTATCACAAGACCTAAGAATGATGTTTGAGATATTTTCCACACTTTTTACTCTGATGGGCCTGTGGCCCCACCCAGACCCAGGTCACATACCAAGGAGCTGGCTCCACAAGTCTGTGAACTCCTCCTAGAAACCGGATCTACACATGAAGACAGTTTTAACACCCCCCATGACTTCATCTTCAACCAAGTAGCAGCGCCCATTCTCTAGTATCATGCCTGCCAAATTATTCCTTTAAAAACTCTAATCTAAAATTTTTCATCCTCCTGACTCAATTGCTTTGCAATATTAAACTCTTTCTCCACTGTAACAGCTGCTGTCAGTCTCAGTTTTTCTAGGCAGCATAAGAAGCTGGTCAGGTTGTAACAATACAAGTACCAGTGATACAGTGACAAGAATGAACAGCGATCATAATAAATACCATAGTTAACGTTTATGGAACACTCACTATAACCCAGACATTGTTTTAAATGTCTTACAAATATTAGCTCATTTATTCTTCACACAATCTTATACTGTAGGTACTACTTATCTTCATTTTACAGAGAAGAAAGTGAATCACAGAGGCTAAGTGATTCGCCCAATGTCACCCAGCCAATAAGAATCAGAGCTGGGACTCAAACCCAGTCCATCTGATAGTAAGACCACATTCTTAACTACATGATATATAGTATATATAGAATATTTATTATATTTATTGTATTAATTTTTGTCACATATATATATTTGAGTTACTGTAAGTGAAACTTACACAGAATATAATATCTCTGTATTATGCATAATTATTATAAATTGTCTGGATGCTATTTGCCATCTGATTTACTTGTGTCTATTACTCTTTTACTAATTCATTAAACAGATGGTTACTAAGCATAACACAACTATTTTTGGTCTCTGTGTTTAGTATTCAGAATTTTAAGATGAATAAGATATTTATTAGTAAAAATGATCAGAAATAATTCCATTATTCTTTTCTCCTAACCCCCTAAAGAAGTGTTTCTCCCTAAGATCCTCTTAATGATTAAGGAAATAAATTTAGCAGACACCTTTATGGAAGAAGAGCTACTTACTAGATGACACAAGAATTACTATCCTTTGACAAAGAGTAACAATTAGTTACTTCTCTATGGGATAGATACAGAATGACAGGGATTGAAGGTTTACAATTCCAAAACGGGAATCCTTTATCTTAACTGGATAATACAACAATTCACACAAGGAATCTGGAATGAGGGCAAAAAGAAAATCACAGCACATGCTAAAAATAAAACAACTATAAAATGTTTTGTTTGTATAGGAATTCCTAACTGAAAAAGACAAAATGTGTTATCACCAATAGAAAAAGAATATTTAACCTATAAACTTATTTATGTAGGACCTACACTATCTGATATACAACTGAGAGAACAGAATTGAAAGTCTTTCAAATGCCATTCTTTTTACTCACCAATAAAAAACAATTCCCTAAATTATTTCTAGGGCTTATCCTCAGCTGGCACACACTGGTGTGGCTATAGCAGTTGTTTATGTTCTGTTGAGACTGGTCAGTGCCCAGATCACTCTAATTGTTAAATATGTGGCCATCACCCCATGCTTTTTATTCCCTTTTAAGAAATCCCATTATGGTTTGTTAAAATTTATCTATTAGTTCACTTGTAGAAAATTGGCATCACATTATTTGAGATCACATTAACATAAGAAAGGAAGATGGAAAGATTTCATTATGAAAATTATCTTATTCTTATTCCCAGGCTTTCTCACATTATACAACAGAAATATTCAAATAGCTATGAATAAATTAGTGCTTACATACCAGCTTGAAACATGGATAATCAAGTTTTCTATAATTAGAGAAATAAGCAGTTTAGGGCCATATCTATTTCTGTGATACAAAAGAAATGAACAGTTTCCCAAGGCAAGGTACTGAGTACTCACTCCATTTCCCGAACAAATAGTGCCTTCTTTACTGCTTAAGCAAGTACTAAAGTTGAAGGATGCCACAGGAAGACACCTATGTTCTAAGCACATCATTTGGGGACCACAAGGTGTCCCATCTTCCACATAGCCAAGATCTACATCTTCTTCAAGCTTAACGTGCCCGCCACTAAAAATAAATTGGGAGCAAAAACAAAATGAGATTCCATTAAGTCACATTCATCTTGAGAACATGCTCAAAAACTTCAGAATGGGCAACACCACTCTCTCCATTTTCTATTTATTCTTTAACAAAAACCAGTAGCGTAGGCATTTTCAATTTCTAAATGGAGAAAGCAATGGAATCTTTTGAACTAATTGTTCTTGAATCATTGGTATAATTTAGGATTTAAACATAATTATTGAACCTGAATTGAAACAGCTCTATCATCTTGCCTTGGCTACCATGTACAAGTTAAATAAGTCATTATTACTAGTATTCGATTTGATAAGTAGGTTTCAGGATTTCAAGTATGTTTCAAACAAAGATGAGAACTAGATTCAGTTTATGCTACTCAAAAAGACTGCATATGTACAAATTAAATTGGAGAATGACGAAACTATTGTAGTTTTGCTATTCAGTACAGCAAGCCCATGTTATATAGCAATTTTTTAAAAAACACAGTAAGAATTGAAAATGTACATCCATAATCTATTTATTCATACAGTACCATGTCAATGCTACTATTAAAAAGTCCCCATTATTTTTAGTAATTTTTATCAAAATTATATATGCACAAAATTATATATAAAGAGTTGAACAGATAAACTTTTTTTAATGCAATAAAGTAGATCTCTGCTTCTTCAGTAGGTTCTCCTCCAGATACCCGGGATTCTTAATTGACTATTTTGTTCTTTATGTACACATCTTTAAATCCATGAGTTTGGATTACTTTTTTTTTTTAATTTTTTTGAGTTGGGGGTCTCACTCTGCTGCTCAGGCTAGAGTGCAATGGCACGATCACAGCTTGCCACAGCCTCGACCTCCTGGGCTCAGGTGAACCATCTGCCTTAGCTTCCCGAATAGCTGGGACTACAGGTGCATGCCACCACACCAGGCTAATTTTTTTGTTTTCTGTAGAGATGTGGTCTTGCTCTGTTGCCTAGGCTGGTCTGCAACTCCTGGACTCAAACAATCCTCTTGACTCAGTCTCCCAAAGGGCCAAGATTACAGGTATGAGCCACCATACCCATCTTTGGATTACTATTTTCATTCTTCAATTTTAGTTATTATCAACTGTCTTTCCTCTATGGAATATGAGAATTTAACTCTTTCTTCTCCCTCACATACAATTTTCCCTTTTTCCTATCTTCTCATTATAAATTAATGAACAGTCAAATCAATAATGAACAGTCGAATCAATAATAAATATGTACTTTATTATAACCATATGTTATTTCATTGAGCAATACAGTGTCATGATTAAACCCTTTTTTCCATAAAACTTTTAGTTTTCCTTCAGATTAACAAGTATCTTACTTTGATATTTATTTGCTTACTTTTCTAAGAACGTATCATTAATTCAAAACTAATCTAATGTCTCTGCTGGCTGTTAAAACCGCAAGATGTGTATGAATTTCACCTTTCTATAGAAATCTCTCCTGCTCCTATCTGTTCTAGTTTTCCCTGTGTGCTTCATAGCACTGTAAATCTTGGATTTCCTCCATCACTGTCAATCTGGGGACTGTCCTACCTCTTTCTGTGGTGGCTATATTATTATTTATATTTCCTGTCTTTCTCATTCTTGGTTTATGCCTTCATTTTGTTGGGGCACAATTTCCAGGAGCTACCTGAAAAAGGGTGCAGGAGGGTAAGTTTTGGAGAAATTTGCTTATCTAAAAATATCTTTATTTTCTACCCTCACATTTGATTGAAATTTTTGCCAGGGTACAAAATTCTAGTTTAAAAATAAATTTCTCCATTGTTTGCTGATTCCCAGGGCTCCTGAGGATAAATCCTAGACCACTGTGATTCCCAAGTCTTTGCTTTTTTCTCTTCTCCGGAAATTTTAGGGATTCTTCTCTTTGTCTTAAAATTCTAAAATATCATAATGATATGTTTAGATTTGCCTCTAATTTCACTCACTGTATCTGGTACTTGTGATCCTGATAATATGAAAACTCAAGTCCTTCAGTTCTAGACAATACTCTTGAGTCATTCATTGACCATTTCCTCCTTGCTGTGTTCTCTATTATTATTTCTCTCCCAATTGGGTGAGTTTTTCTTTATGTTCCTTCTTTGCTTATTCTGTCCTGCTTTCTAGCAGATAATTTCAACCACTAAATTTCATTTCTGCCATCATATCTTTAATTTCCAATAGTATGTTTTCCTCTCTGAATGCTCCCTGTTGTTTAAAACAATAGTACCCTATTTTCTTGTTTCATGACAGAAATCTTTTACCTCTCATAAATATTGATAGGTGGTTTTCCCCCTTGTTTTTGTCTCTCTTTTATTTTCATGTTAGAGATTTTCTTCACATCTCAGATAACCTTCTCATATTTGAGTTGGGGCACCACATAAATGATTGAAATTCTAGGGCTTTCTGACTAAACACCAATGAGTTGGACCACTTCCTTACAACCCTGATATCAATATTGCTTATTGTCCTCTGGCTTGGAAATCTCTTATATTCTCTCAGAGTACTAAGCTCCAATCTTCCACGGAAGGGTGGGTAATCCTCAGTTTAGCTAGGTTGGGAAAGTAATATGTGTTGAATATCTCACTGCTTCTTTACCAGAACTAATCTAATGTCTCTGCTGGTTGCCAAAATCGCCACTCAAGATGTGTATGGATATCAGTTCACCTTCCGTAGAAATCTCTCCTGGAGTTTCGGACCTACTCCTATCTCCTATCTGTTTTGATTCTCCCATGGGCCTGGCTTGCCCATTCTCTGTGTCTCAAATTTATCTTCTTTATTTTAGACCCTTTTCCCCAATCCTTCCCTCCAATTTCTGAGCCTTCTGAGAAGTAATAGTGTATCTTGGATTGGTTCTCAGTTTTCCTCATTACTGACACAGGAATTCAGCTTTCTTCACCTTGGTAAGTCATGTGTCACATATTCAGTTGCTTTATACATTCAAACTTTTTTGTTGCTGTTGTCTCTCCTCCCTTTCTATGCCTCTCTGTAAATGTATGAATTCTAAGAAAGCTTCATTTAGTGTCATTTTACTAGGATATCAGAAGAGAGCAAAAGTAGGTACATATATTTAATACACTAACTTCACCCAGACATCCTCATTTATTTTTTAGTAAGAATTAAATGTAAATGAAACCCTACAAGACTTTACTGACCAACCAAACATAACTCTAGCAGCCACATAACATTCTACATTCAACTATGTTTTAACATTCTTTTTAACTATTTTCTGTCAGGATTTACTCAGTCACCTCTATGGACTAGAGGCACATGACTTACTAACATGCACATGCACTGAAAACAAAAATAGTCCAAAACTGAATTCCAGAGAAATTAGATGACTAATGTCCTCATAGAATAGTTAGATAATTACCTGCAGTTTAATGTTCTTCCCTGCTGCACAACTAAAGTAGATGTGATTTCACCATCGAGTTCTCCAAGCCTTGGGATATTACCGATATTGGTACACAAAAGGTAACCACACAGCACATCCCTGTGTCAAAAGAGTACCAATTATTTACTTATTTTCTCAAAGATATAGTAAACCATATGCAGTTAGAATGAAAATCTTCTCTCATTTTAGCATATTTTTAAATCAACTATATTATTTACTTATATCAAGCAAAATGAAATAAGCCCCAAACAGTTTTCCTCCTGTCTAAAAAAATATATTCTTGAAAGCTCTTATTGGTGCACCAAAATCTCAACTTTTTAGCTTTTCCTTTACTATTCATAAGTTCAACTATTTAAAAAAAATTATCCACCAAGTAGATATCTTTTATGTCAGAACCTCTTTTCCAATAATACATCACTGGATATGCTACATTATTTTTTAATATTTGGTAAGTGAATGAATAACTTTCAGATAGGCATCCTTTTGGAGTGAATATTTCTTCAATTCGTTGCCCCAGAATTAAATATTGTACATATTTTGTAGATTCTCAAATACAGAGGCACGTTATCCTTTCTTCAGTATATGTCACTACCTCTCCAACTGGAATCAATGATTCCAATTTAACTTATAAGACACTTTTACTGGTATTAAATGCTATCTCATATATTCTTTATGTCCCACACATTTTAATTACTAATAGAGATAATGATAAATATGTTTTAGTAACTATCTTCTGAACATTAATTAGTAGGTCAGCAAGATTATATACATAAACAACAGACTTTATCAGAGAAAAAGAAAAGTTAGAATCTGTATCTACCAACACAGAATATATTATTATTTAAACATTTTAAATTATATAATCATTTCACTGTAAAAATGCTTTTCAACATAGAAGAAATATTCATTCAAAATTTTTTGAGTGTCACTTGTATGTATGAAACTTACTTAGTAATTTAGACTATATAAAAAAAAACTAGATGATCTTTACCCTCAAGGAAATTATACTCCAGATGAGAAGATAAATCATGTACATAAACAATTATAAGGCCAGGTATGGTGGCTTACACCCATAATCTCAGCACTCTGGAAGGTTGAGACAAGAGGACTGCTTGAGACTAGAAGTTCAAGACCAGCCTGAACAACATAGTAAGACCTTGTCTCTAAGAAAAAACAATTAGCCAAGTGTGGTACCATGCACCTGTAAGTCCCAACTACTCGGGAAGTTGAGGTGGAATCCTCTGAGCCCCCGAGTTAAAGGGTACAGTGAGCTGGGCTCATACAACTGCACTCTAGCCAGGAGACAGAATGAGATACCAACTCAAAAAAAAAAAAAAAATGGGGACAGAGGCCAAGTACAAAGGGCTGGGGGAGTTCAGAGGAGAAGGGAAAGATGGCTTATTTCTGGAGTAAATCAGGAAATAATTTATAGAGAAAATATTGTTCAAGCTGGGCTTTGAAGGATGTGTAAATTTTTGATGGATGACAGTATGACAGAAAGGGTGATTCCTGAGAAATGGAGAACACAAACATAGCCATACACATAATACACATATGAAGAACACAAACATAGGCATACACATAACACACATATTAGGAATGGTAAGTTTTGCTAGACTTGGAAGAACAGAGAAGAAAAGACAAAATAAGTAGATTGGGACAAATTGTAGAAGAGGTGCAGTGCCAAGTTAAGGCTACATTTTATTTGTTAAACAAGACTATGGCATTCACCAAAGTAGTGAAGAATTCTGAAATCAGACTGCCTGAATTATAATTCTGCTTATTATTACATCCTATATACATGATCTTGGGCAAATTAATTCAATGTGTCTGTTTCCTCCTCTATAAAATGGGAGGACTATCATAAAGAGTAAATGGCATGGCTTATGTAAAGCATGATACAGTGCTTAGCAAATAATGTGCACTCAACAAATGTTAGGTATCATTCTTACTATTAATGAGCTATGTGTAACCAGTGACATTTGAACAAAGAATTGTCAAAAAAGATTCAGATTATTTTGATGGTAGTATGCTAGGGAATACTAACATAGAAAACTATGAAGAGAATTTAATAACAGTTGAAGAGTTAATATAGGTCTTAGTTGGGGTAATGGCAATAGAAATTAAAATGAGTGCATGAATGATGGGCGAGCAAAGGGAAGAATGGATATGATTTTGTATTTGGACAATATGCAGAGGGAAGGCTGAGTCAAGGATCACTCTGAAGCATCTAAACAGAAAGACAATGAAATCTTGAGACGTTTGGCCAAAAAAGGAGGTGGTTGGAAAAGTTAGAGTCAATTAATTCAATTCAACAGCACTGAGTACATATTCTGGTGCCTTTAACTTCTTTTGCTTCTGAGATGCTGGAAGGTGTCAAGTAGGTAAGAAAGTCTGAGGCAGCTGCAAGCATGACCTGAGCCTTAGGAGGGAGGTGAGGATACACATCAAGATTTGGAAACCCTCTGCAGAGGTGATGCTGGAACTCTGGGAAGAGATGAGGTGAGTAGGCAAGAGCATACTTGATGGGATGCAGAAAACAGGAACTTCCTAGTCACTCAAGAAATAACACTTGTAATTGACTGAGGGATGAATTCTGGGCTGACTTCTCCACCTTACCGTTTGTTGCACTGTATCCATGTGTCTTTGTCTTTCCCACAGTTACCCTTCTCAGTTCCTTCAATATTCAGTTTCTCATAGCAGTATTTGTCTGATGCCGTCACCTCTGAAGCAGAATAAAATTTTCTATCAGTGAGGTAATATGACTGCTCAAAATGTTTGCGGAAAATGAAAATTACAATTTAAAGACTCTTCTTTACTACAGTGTTATCAATTCCAAAAATTGTTCCTGTGATTCACAAGAGTTCTCCTATATCATAAACATCCATGACTCAGATAAGTTTACATGAATGATCCTTTGAAATTTAGATAATAAATGTATTTAGATCTCTGTTGGGATTCAGGCTATAGGCTGCAAGAACAACACTCCTTAGAATTTAGTCAACAATTAGGAAAAGATAATACCAAATGGTTCCTTAAATAAATATCCCATATTTTAATCTCAGTGCCAAATATAATGCATAAATATCTCCCCCAGCAATTTTTATAATTCATATTTAAATAATTTAAATAAATCAAATCAACTTTATTGAAATAGTTACGTGTTATAATTAGATTTGAGAATCAGTGGTATAATTTCTACCTTGCTCATTAATTTATAACAGTATCAAAAACAATTTTATTTTGCTTTTAAACAGGCTTGAATTCATGCTAAATTTCTGAGAATCAAATAACATATTAAGGTACGCTAGCATCCTTTTCAGGTTTTTATCTTTTCTGAAACCAGGGTTGGTTGATACAGTTATCTAAGAATTAAATCAAAATGACTTTAGTAACCAATCAAAAGACAAGTGTTGGTTTGTGTGTTTGTGTGCATGTGTGTATATCTGTATGTGTGCATACACTACATTATGTCAGTAGTTTCTTTCCCTACTTCTTGTTACCAACTACTATTTTTGTTCAAGTTGAGGAAACAAAAATTATATCTCTTTGTTCAGAGTCAAACATGCATAACTAAATTTTTCCCCATCCCAATGTTTCTAGTTGTTGAAAGAAAGCATACACTTACCCTCCTAAAAGGATTATAGTCACTACCTATGACAATTAAGAATTATCATTAGCCGGGCTCGGTGGCTCAGCCTGTAATCCCGCGCCTTTGGGAGGCTGGGGTGAGTGGATTGCCTGAGCCCGTGGGTTCGAGACCCGCCTGGGCAGCGAGACCTCATCTCTACAATAAATCAAAAAAATCAGCCGGGCATGGTAACGCATGCCTGTAATTCCAGCTACTTGGAAGGCTGAGTCGGAAGGATCACTGAAGTCCAGCAGGTCGAGGCTGCGGTGGCCGGGAGCGGCCACTGCACTCCAGTCTGGGCGACAGAGTGAGACTCCAACTCAAAAAAAAAGAAAAAAAAAAAAAAAAAAAAAAAAAGAATTATCATTATTTTAATAACTATTTTTCTAATACAGATTGTCTTCTGAAAGAATTTAGAACAAAAACTGCTCTAAAAAGTTTAAGCCAGTAGTACTTCTGGAAAACAATATATTGCTCAGCATTTAAATATAAATTTAAATAAAATATAATTTAAATAATGTGATTTAAATATAAATGTTATATATTTTTCTATGAAAATATGACAAACTTTGAAGGTAATAATATCAAAATTTTTTTCTGCTATAGGAAAGCAACCTCAGCAGAAGGTCACCTATAACTAGAAAAGCCAGTGAGAGTTTAACAAAGACAGTAAAGGAGAAAAAAATGACTCTAGCATCCTGCAGTTCTAAGTCAAGGATGCCCTGTCCAGGGTCCATGTCCACCCCATATGGTTGCCCAGGTTTTGCTTATGAGCACTCAGCTGAGGGGAGCATGTGTGGAGCTGAAATGCAGTTTTGCTCTACCAAGCTGTGAGTCTGGCATGGGCTTCACCTGCCTGGCAGCAAAGGCACCTTCTGTTTCATCCACAGATACTGCCAACTAGCCAAGATGTGTGGAGTTGTGTCTTCTCAAAGGAGGCGCCTTACTCTGACTTCCAGAAATGTGCCCCTACTAAGACCTGCAGTAACTTTGAGGATCGCTCAAAAATGTACTTCCAGCACACACGTCCTCGAGAAACCTGCCTGATCTCATATTAAAAATGATAAAGCCAGACTATTTACTTACTTTGCCCCCAGACGTATTTGCATTGTCTATCCCTGGTTTTACATCTTCCTCCAAAGCAAATTCCCTAAAATGGAAAAGCAAATACCCATTAGCGAGGCAATTTCTGCTTATCTCAGGTATGTGAAAACGAAACTAAGATTGGGAAAAATAATAAGGGTCTTTTCTCTTCAAAATTAATTATAAGACATTTAAATTGACATTCCTATTTTGATGAGATTTCAGTACTTCTTTCATGCTGGTACATGGGAAAAATTCAGGTAAAAATGAAGTGACCCACCTGAACACCATCACAGGAATATCCATCCATTTTATGAATATTAGGGGCACACTAGAAAAAGAGAACAAATTGTGAATAGAGCAGAGCAAAATATCAGGCTAAGCTAACCTCAATAACGTTTTCAGTTTTAAAATCACGTCCAATAATATGGCTAGTCCCAAAACATCCAAATATAAAAACAAAGATCAAGAGAAAGCAAGATGAAATACAACAATTGGTGCACTTTCCCCTAAAAATCTACCAGAGGCAAAAACAGTTGATTACACAGCAGTAAATAAAAAGATCTGAGTGCAACAGACTCAGCTAATGATACATTTAAGAGCATCTGGCTTCATATAGACACACTATTCCTCAGAGCAAGAAAAAGGGCATAAAACAAAAGCAAGGCAAATGCCCACATAGATAAAGCACAACTACAGTTTCTTCTTTTTTTGCCCTGAGAAGCAACATAGCCCTGACACTCAAAATAATGACTCTGAAGTAGAAGTCTATTTTGAGGATGTTAAAAGAAGACATGCTTTATAACCCCATTTTTTCCTTGCAGCAATTCTAGAAAATTACAACGCTTTCTTGTGTGGATACAGACAGTAATTTTTAATTTTGTTATATGATTTTTCTGTTATTATATAGTAATTATAGAGTCACCTGAAGAAAATTGGAAAATGTAAAAAGTAGAAAAGAAATGAAAGGCACCACCCAAAGGCAGTTCTATTTTATATTCGGGTACATTTTCTCTCCACCTTTTTCTATTAAAATGGGTATTTTTAAACACAAATATGAGCAAATTGTACATAATATTTTATGTTCTGCTTCTTTCCTCTACTTTCATCATACAAATTTCCTCATGTTATCATGAACTTTTTGTCGGTACCATTTTTAATGGCTATAACACACGCATTGAGCTAACATTGTGCTACAACAATCACTTCTAATTATATCCAATTAATTTATGCATTTACAACTAATGTAGCAAAATCATCTTTGTCCATACATCATTTTTGGATTATTTTAACATTTCTACTTATTTATAATCATTACAAAGAAGTTGCTCTAAAATACTTTCTGCCTGGGAGACTTAGAGGCAATCATTCATCAAATCCTCATCACTCTAGGAGTTAGCTTAGAAAACATTTCCATAAGATAGGAAGAAAGAAAAAATATTTGCACATGAAAAATCTTAAATCTCTTAAGGAGACTTCTTTTTAAATAAATCATTTTTAATGGTCAATGTAGGTATGCCACTATTATATTCCTCTTCTCTGGATTAAAAAAAATATGTAAGCAGTCCTCACTTTGCACAGCTCTCGTATACATGAATTTCTGTTTATACGATTTTGTTAAATAACACCAATCCTTCAACAACATGACTCCAGTTTCAGTTACCATAGTATATTGCTGTGAGTAATTGCATAAAGCACAAACTTTGCTCCAGCCCTCAGTCAATGATCCTGAGGCAAATAACAGATGCCCGTCATGATGGGTCACCCATCTTGTCACTTCTTTCAAAGTTGGTCAAGTGAAGGGTCATTACCCGTTTATTCAACTCAAACACAAACGGTGAAGCGTGTAATTGTGTTGCCTCTTTGTCTTCTGGTGATACTGTGTGATTTTTTTTTAAATGGGTGATCAGAAGAGGGAACTCGTCAACAAAGATGGAAGTGCAGCAAAGAAGTGAAAGTGATGACACTAGAAGTGAAATGGGAATTGAATGCAAATGGAGTCCTAGGAAAAAACAGCTGACCATGGGAACACAAAGACTGCTGCTCAAGAGCCTCTAGACATGCAGCCAGAGGACCCTGGTGAAGAAAGCCTTAACAACATCAGTGAATGAGATGATAGTGACATAGTGGGTAAAGATGTCCCAGAAAAGATGATGCTGGCAATAAACTTCACATTCACATCTTCACATCTCCCACTGATATCTTATGACATTGAAAGCACAAAGAATACAACATTGAAAGCTGATCCAAACTTAGAAGGCATGTGACAATTCAACAAGATATAGAAAAAACACTCTGCATCACAAGAAGAAGACAAGGCAGTTCAAACTACTGACAAGTTTTATACAAAGAAATAAAATACTTTATTTCTCAATGTTTCTGTTTTAATTTACAGTATGCTAAGTAAATATTAATTTATTTTATTTCCCTTTGCATTTAAAACCAGTAAGAAAGTTTACGTGTTATGAATTTTTTTTTCTTTTTTTTTTTTTGAGTCAGGTCTCATTCCGTCACCCAGGCTGGAGTACAGTGGCACAATCATGATTCACCACAGCCTCAACCTCCTGGGTTCAGGTGATCCTTCCAACTCAACCTCCCGAGTAGTTGGGACTACAGGTGCATGTCACTATGCTTGGCTAATTTCTTATTATTTTTTAATAGACAAGGGCTCACTATGTTGCCTAGGCTGGTCATGAACTCCTGAGTTCAGGTAATTCTTTCATCTTGGCTTCCCAAAGTGATGGGATTACAGGCATAAGCCACCATGCCTAGTCAGTTTGACAGCATTTTTTAGTGATCACAGAACAACTACAATAATTTCTTTTGATTACTAAGACCACTTTACATTGTCTTAGAGTGCACAGTCATTTTTAATGTTCAGCATTACCACGTAAAACAAGGACTGCTTGCCTGTATTTATGCTGACCATTTTGAAATCTGTGAAGCCTCACCAAAGTTTATTCAATCTCCCAGCTTGTCTATTTACAATTAAATGCTGTCAAATTCAGCAGCAGCTATTAATGGCTGAGGAGACACAAGCTATCTCAGATAAGTGAGAGTCCAGAAAAACAGTCCTCTCTAAGAACCCAATGTTCTGTGGGCTTTCTGCTTCAGCTGACTCCTGTTTCACCCAGTTGAAGAGACAAGAGTCCTTCACTAAGTAGATAAAAAGAAAATGACCTGTGCCCAGGTGTAGTGGCTCATGCCTGTAACCCCAGCACTTTAAGAGGCTTGCTTGAGGAGTTTGAGAGCAGCCTGGGCAACACAGAGAGAGCCCATCTCTATAGAAATAAAAATTTAGCCAGGTATGGTGGCGGGTGCCTGTATTCACAGCTACCAGAAAGGATGAGGTGGAAGGATCACTTGAGCAGGAGGTTGAGACTGCAGTGAGTCATGATTGCACCACCGCACTCCATCCTGAATGACAAAGCAAAACTAGGTCTCAAAAGAAGGGAGAGAGGAAGGGAGGAAGGGAAGGAAGGAAATGTTTTGTATTACCTACTTAAAACAAAAACAAAATAGTTAAAGCAGTCTTAGGTTAGTTCAACATTAAGACAAAATTACACTGAATATCTGCGTAAGCTTCGATGACTGAAACTTAAATTCATAAAAAATAGAGTGAGAAATGATGTGAAAGAGAAACATGATCACCTTGTCCACTGACATTTCTCCTTGAGATCAATGCACTAAAGATACTGCCACATTTTCCTGTAGGGTTTAGAGTAATTACTTTGTAAATTACCTGGCTTGAATTTCCTGAGCATGTTTCACGAATATCACAATCATTTACTGCTTCTCGGCACACAGTGCCCATAGGCTGAAACTAAAATTAACAAAATCAATGTGTAAAACCGTGGAAGGAAAAGTCTCTTATGATATCATCTTTTAAAAAAAGCAAAATGAAAATTGTTTGATTAGAAATACCTGAAACTATTTTACAGTGGTAGTCTGTGAAACCACAGTTACTGAATAAAATGCTATTCTGATAGTTTTAAGAGAGCTTGTTGTATATGAAGTAACTTCCATAGCCAACACACATAAGCCCTATAATATCCTGCTAACATCAGTCACTTCTTGATGGCACATCCCCACAAGAAGGACGTGCTAGTCTAGCTTCTAGTAATTCTTTTACTCTTTTTTGCCTTATCTGCCAAAATTTGGAAGTTGCATTTTGGGCTGAATCACAAAAGTTAGATTTTCTGCCAAAGCTATTTCCTCTCATACTTTCCCTTCTTTTTTTCTCCCCTGTCTCATTATTACATAGATCTAAATATTAGTCTTTTATTCTTTTCAATGTTTCTACTATTTGGTACCGTATGTAGGAAGTTTTTGTTGTGTTTTTCTGTTTTCAACCACCTCAAATACTTCTTGTAAGTGTGGGAGTTGTACAAATTTTTAATCTCACTAGATTTATAAATTCAAGAGTACTCATTATAACACAACAGAACAGAAATACATGGTGACCATACTTCCCAATCCCTCTTCAATTGTTCTTTCTTCTCTCTCCAGAATGTTAGCATTTAAGGCTGAATTGTTACATGCTTTTGTCTCTGCTCTCACAAAGGTACATAATATTCATCTGTCCCCACTTTCTGTATAAACCTCATTTTCTCTCTCTGCTTAGAACCCTGCAGGCATTTGAATCTCCTGCTGTTCCTAGAACATGCACAGCCCACTGCCAACTCCAATCAGGAATTCAACACTTATTTTTGAGAAAATCTAAGCAAAATTTGTGTTTATTCATCCATTCTTCAAGCACTTACTAAGCACTTACAGTGTGCCAAGCACTGGTCTACCCACTCAATCTCAGTGAAGAACAGAACACAAGAACTCTGTTCACAAGGAACTTGAATTTTTTAAAGGCAGTAAATGTGCCATAAAATAAGGAAATAGGCAAGTTAATTTAATTACATGTTCTGGTGCTCTGCTTCCTTGGGATTGGACCAAGCCACAATTTTAGAATATCTGGGGTAAAAATATGAACAGATTTGGGGTAGAGTTTAGAGGAGAGCATTAATGTTCAAAAACTTCCAAGAAACTTCTGAAAGGAAGCATATTCAGGGAGGATTTGCAGTAAGTGCTGGGATACAGCAATAAATAAAACTACCAAAATCCTTACCCTACTGGAACTGACATTGTAATGGAAGAAAAATAATAAACAAGTAAACAAGCACTATTTTACAGACAGAGTCTGCAAATTATGGCCTGAGGGCCAAATCTGGCAGGCTGCTTATCTTTATAAGTAAAGTTTTATTGGAACACAGCCATGCCAATTGTTTCTATATTTTTGATGGCTGCTTTCAAAGGCAAGACTGCATAACTGCAACAGAGAATTTTCGACCCACAAAGCCTAAACTATTTACTATTTGGCCTTTCACAGAAAACATTTAACAACTCCTGGCTTATAAATACATTATTATAAGCATATGTTAATATGTGTGTGTGTGTGTGTGTGTGTGTGTGTGTGTGTGTGTGTGTGTGTGTGTGTGTGTGTGTGTGTATCTCCTGTGATTCACATCTGTAATCCCACCACTTTGGGAGACCAAGGCAGAAGAACTGCTTGAGCCCAGGAGTTTAAGACCAGTCCAGGCACATAGCAAAACCCCACCTCTGTTAAAAAAAAAAAAATAGAGATACACACCATTTCTCATCTTGTTCTTCTATCCCCCTCATCTATTCATTAACCTGCCTCTGACTCCCCCAGGAGACTAGAATGGGGATGAGAGTGGAAGTGCGCACACTAGAGAAAGTGGTAAAAGATCTTACTTGACTGGTACAGCTGTAACTCATTTTGAGGAATAGCAGTTAATCACGCCATTCTGTTTTATGTATTTTAATTTTGTTATTTTGTATTTGTTACTTGAAATAACTATATCACAGAGAGCCCTATTTTATAGATCAAAGGGAAGAAAGGTATAATTAAATGCATTTATAGGCCAGGCATGGTAGCTCACATCTGCAATTCCAGCACTTTGGGAGACCAAGGTAGGAGGATCGTTTGTTTGAGATCAGCCTGGGCAACATAGTGAGATCTCATATCTACAAAAAATAAAAAAGTTAGCTGGGCATGGTGGCATGTGCCTGTAGTCCTAGTTACTTGGGAGGCTGAGGTAGAAAGACCACCTGAGCCCAGGAGGTTGAGAGTGTGCTGAGCTGTGATCATACCACTGCGCTCTAGCCTGGGTGACAGAGTGGTTGAGAGTGTGCTGAGCCGTGATCATACCACTGCACTCTAGCCTGGTTGACAGAGTGAGATTCCAACTCTAAAAAACAAAAATGCATTTATAGATTGGCAGACTTAAAACATCAAGGAATAAGATAAGTGATTCAAGATCCCTTGTTATGGCAGTAGGAGAAGATGACAGGATAAACAGTTGTGATAGCCAAATAAAGAATGTCTATTTCACATTAGTTTAATCTGCCTTTTTAGAGCGTGCTTTCAGAGATCTCTGCCAGTGCCGCTTGTCTTTAAAAGCTGCCAGGAGACATAGTGGTAGAGTGAAGATGACAGGCACTGCTGCCAGCAGATCTGCAGTGAAACTGCACATCTATACCTTACAGCTAAGTGAGCCTATGCTCGTTATTTAACTTCCTGAGACTGGGATCACTTAACTGTAAACATCAAGATAATAATGCCTATCCTAAAAGTATGCTTGTGAGCATTATATAAAACAGTGGTCTCAATCAGTGGTCTCAATCTGAGGGGATGTCTGATAATATCTGGAAACATTTTTGGTTATCACAACTGGGAGGGATGCTGCTAGCACCTAATAAGCAGAATCCAGGGATACTGCCAAATATTCTACAGTGCACAAGACACATCTTTACAAAAAAGAATTATCCAGCCAAATGGAAATACAGATATAGAATGATATAAATTAAAAGTACTTAGCACAATCTCTGGTACGCAAAAATACTTACTATAATAGTTTCATATCCCACCCTATTTTTACTCATTAGACTAAAGTTACTAATCAGCAAATCATCAATAAGAGAACGCTGTGCTATTTTTTCAGTCATTCAACAAATATTTTCTGAGAACCTACACTAATAACTGGCCTGGCTCTACTCCATGAAACGTCTAGACTGGAGAGAGAGAGAGAGATATTAAACCTCAGAAACAATGTAGAATATTATGCCAGGTTTTATATGGGAAGAGAAAAAAGAATTAGATTTATTTAATAAAGTTAAGTTCCATTTAACTGTTCGTATCGATGTAAAGACTTAAATATTTGGAGACAGGTATAAGGATGTGTTGGGAGGATGAAAACAGATGGAGTGTGTAAAGATGCATTCTAAACTTGCATGCACAATAACACACGTAAAGTATTATCATGTCCAAGGGTATTCCCGTTGTTCCCTAAGTAGCTAAGGCAAGCGATATACCAACCTGAGCAACAAGAAAAGAAAAATCTACTGAACATCCCCTTGGCTACACAAAGAAAGGCAAATATCATTCAAAGATTAGTAACACTTGCTTAATTTAACATGCACACAAAATTCATGTGCACACAATAAGGAGACAACAGCCTCTGGGGAAGAGCAAGATGTAGGCCCTAGCTCCCTGACGTACTTGGTGTAAGACTTTGGGCAAAGTGCTTAACTATTACAAGTCACAGTGTTCTCATCTGTTAGAGGGGGATAATAATAGCAACTACACCTCACAAGATTTTGTAAGGATACTGTAAAGCGCCTGGCACCTGGTCACTTAATATGTGTTAGATACTACTATTGTTATCAGATTATATTTACCTAACCTTGATGATTTAATAAAATTCGTCCTTTTTTTCTGTCAAATGATCATTAATCAACATGTATTTACCTTGCACTTTTTACAGCAAAGACCGTCACTGCATTGAGAGTCTTGAGTCAAGGTGCATTTCTTACAACACTCTGCTCCTTCCAGGACACATTCCTAAGAAACATAAACATTTGCTAAATATCAGGAAATGGTGCCATAATCCTAAAAATGCCAATATACTTTTTATAAATTCACAATAATAATATTTCTTACACAAAACCCAGAAAATGTCCAGGTATGACACTTGCTCTGTAAGTCTTAGTGTGTGGACCTGGAATGGCCTTGAATTACCTAAAAAAAAAAAAAATCATCAAAACAATCAGAGACTTACAGCTGTGGTCCCACAGTCACACTCCTCTCCAGTTTCAATGAAGCCATTGCCACACTCAGGAGGATCGAGAAGCTGCGGGAGGAAAGTCAGAAAGGGAACGAAAATATAGAAAAATAAGCATCAAAGGTTTCGAGAGATCATATGTGTAACACCTATAAATAGTTGGTATTCCTGCCAGTCATTTCAAAATATATTTTTATTTTCCTAAACTAGAAAGCATGACTTTAGAACTTGGAATTTTACAAAAGAAGTTCTGCTTCCATTTTATATTTAATATACATGGCATATAACTTTACATATGTATTTACATTTTGGTTTTTTTGTTTTTGTTTGTTTTTTTTTGAGTTGGAGTCTCACTCTGTCGCCCAGACTGGAGTGCAGTGGCCGCTCTTGGCCACTGCAGCCTTGACCTGCTGGGCTCCGGCAATCCTTCCACCTCAGCCTTCCAAGTAGCTGGAACTACAGGTGCGTGCTACCACGCCCAGCTGATTTTTGACTTATTGTAGAGATGAGGTCTCACCAAGTTGCCCAGGTGGGTCTCGAACCTGTGGGCTCAGGCAATCCTTAGCCTCCCAAGGCGCGGGATTATAGGCTGAGCCACCGAGCCCGGTTTGTATTTACATTTATAGCATACATACCACATAGGTCTGGTAAATATCACCCAAATTAAAGACAATCTAGCCATTGACTAAAACCAAGCCAGACTGACTCTTGAAATTTCATTTCAAACAGGAAACAAGGGATTTGGAGCCAGAATGTCTAGATTAAAATCTTGGCTTAACTGCTTATCTTGGGCAAACTAACATCTCAGAGACTTTAATATCATATACAAAACAGAAATAAAAATATTACATGTCCATCTATATCACAAAATAATTGTGAAGATCAAGTTTGATAATCTGTGGAAAGTCCTTTATTAATTATATCTCCTCCTGAAACAGAAAATTATTTCACAGACAAGAGAAAAACATCACAAAAGTGAATATGTCCACTGATCTACTTAATATAAAACATAGTTCCTACCATATGTAACATAGCTTTGCAGAGAACAACAATTTTGCCTCAGAAATTGAAGTAATTTTTCACCTGTCCAAAAGTAAATTTTAGTTCTGTTCTTTCTGACTCAGTGACTCACTGTGTCACCAAGGCTGGAATGGAATGGCAGGATCATGGGTCACCATAGCCCCAACTTTCTGGGCTCAGGTGATCCTCCTGCCTCAGCCTCCCGAGTAGCTGGAACTACAGGCATGAGTCACCACACCTGGCTAATTTTTTTTTTTATATCTTATAGAGGAGACAAGGTCTCACTATGCTTAGGCTGATCTCAAACTCCTGGGCTCAAGCAATCCTCCTGTCTCAGCCTCCCAAAGTGCTGGGATAACAGGTGTGAGTCACCATAACTGATCTTGCTTTATTTTTTAACTCTCCATCCATTTTATTATCTTTTGGTGATTTTATCCTATGGGGATAGGCAAAATTAGTAAACATTACATAATTGTTATATACCAGATATGTAATAACCATTCAAAACTTAATCAAAGTTTACATATTATAGAATGAAAGTATATATACAACTGCAAACAGACAGGGACACACACACACACACACACACACACATAAACACACACAAACACACTTTCATACTTAACTAAGGGAAACAAACAAAACAAAATAAACAAAAACGCCCCACCTAATTTCAAATATTCCCTCTTCTCTTACAAAAGAATCAATTCTTCTCTATATTTCATTTTCAACTGAAAGTGATCATAATGAATGAAAAAAAAGTCAAAAAAGAAACTTATCCAGATTAAAAATATACTTATTTCTTAGTCTGGGTTTAGAATAATTATTTGGTAAGATTACTTGAATTGTTCAACATTTATGGCAGCAGTGATATTCTTCAGCATCTCTTCCAAAGTTTTTTGAAAGTCTTAAAATTACCAATTTGCTTTTTAATGCAATATTATACATTTTCTAAATTGTACTGGGATGAACAGAGAATAAAACCAAGTAAATGATTATGAAGGTAATTTTGCATATTCCTGTGGTACACAGGAGCATTTCATAGTTTGCATAATTAACAAGGACAAATCATTTTTTTAAACATGCAAAGTCTTCAAAATGCGGGAGGAAGTCCTGCTTTCTAGTCAGTAGTTGGAGGTACTCTGTAAGTTGTAAAAGCCTATGACAAAGTCCAAGTACAGAAAGACTTTCTCCGTTTCTGCTTTAAGAAGACTTGGTTTTCAAGTTCAAAAGCACTTGTAATTTTAATTACACCATTCATTCTTCATTCTACCACTCCCCTTTCTACCTGTATGAATTGTGATTAGGTATCCAAGGAAAAAAAAAAAAAAGCACCAAGAAAATGAAAAAACAAAGTAAAATACAAACATTTTTATAAGCTAACTGAAACATCATTTGGCTATATAAAAAGAAAATGGAAATTTTTTAGACAGCAAATGCTCTCATTTCTACTTGCTTTCTAGTCTTAGCAGAATAATCCCAAATGCCCACCATTAAAGCTGATTTTTAAGCCGGGCTCAGTGGCTCAGCCTGTAATCCCGTGCCTTTGGGAGGCTGAGGTGAGTGGATTGCCTGAGCCCGCGGGTTCGAGGCCCGCCCAGGCAGGCAAGACCTCATCTCTACAATCAATCCAAAAAAATCAGCCGGGCGTGGTAGCGCGCGCCTGTAATTCTGGCTACTCGGAAGGCTGAGGTGGAAGGATTGCTGGAGCCCAGCAGGTCGAGGCTGCGGTGGCCGGGAGCGGCCACTGCACTCCAGTCTGGGCGACAGAGTGAGACTCCAACTCAGAAAAAAAGGAAAAAAAAAGCTGACTTTTAAAATGAAGATATTTAGCATATCTAGAATATGAACATATAGGCCAAGTTGAAAAGCTCTCTTTTATAAGATATAATAGACCGGGATTTTGAGAAGCCAAGAAGAGAGGATTGTCTGAGCCCAGGAGTTCAAGACCAGCCTGGACAATATGGCAAGACCGCATCTCTACAACAATTCAATAAATTAGCCAGGAGCAGTAGCATGTGCCAGTAGTCCCAGCTACTTGGGAGGCTGAGGCAGAAGAATCACCTGACCCCAGCAGGTCGAGGGTGTGGTGCCATGAGCATACCACTGCACTCCAGCCTGGAAAACAAAGTGAGACCTCTACTCAAAAAAAAAAAAAAAAAATTAATAATAACAATAATATGTGATAGCTTAAAATGTGTTTATAATATTTCAGAAAGATTAATAATTAATAACTCATGATCACACATTACCTTAGAAGGTTTGTTGAAAAGACAGGCACCACCTCCACTATTCAGAAAATCATGATACTCTTCAATACTACACTGGGTGAACTTTTTAGGAAGATAATAGCTGTAAGAGAGAAGAAAATAAACAGCCGGGTACAATTTGTCTCCCTTGTTTGTGAATTACCTTTGAAATTGAACATTGTTAAAATTGTACATTATTCTTTAAAATGAAAGAATAAATTTCACTTAAGTTCAACATTTGCACTCAATTCACAGTTTTATTCAATCAACATTTTAAAAACTCTTCACTTGGTGACTAACCATGATTTGAATATTCTTTGAAAGGAAACCCACACACCATACAGTACCTGTAACTTAAAGCAGGAAAAGTGAGAAAAAAATTAATTCATAATGAGTCTTTCCTAAATATTAAAACTAGGCTAGAATCCAAACTGCAGATCATGCTACAAGATACCTGACCTATAGTCTATAAATGTGTCAGGTCATGAAAGTCAAAGAAAGACAGGTACTATTTCAGAATGAAGGAAGCTAAAGAGACATAAAAGTGAAATGTGATGCCTTATCCTAAACCTTTTGCTATAGATGGCATATTGAAACACGGACAATCTTGAATGAGAAAAGCTAAGAATTAGATGATTATACTCATTGTATTGTGGTTGTGTAAGAGGAGGTACATATTGTAAAAAATGCACATTAAGGTGTTTGGTAGTGACAGGGAGAAACTTATGACACAAAGGACTTTGTGTGTATATGTGCATTGGAGTCTCACTCTGTCACACAGGCTGGAGTGCAGTGGCACACACACGGCCACCGCAGCCTTGACCTGCTAGGTTCAGGCAATCCTTCCTTCCACCTCAGCCTTCCAAGTAGCTGGAACTACAGGCATGCACTACCATGCCCGGCTTATTTTTTGATTTATTATAGAGACAAGGTCTCACCAAGTTTTCCAGGCTGATCTTGAACCCCTGAGGTCAGGCAATCCTCTTGCCTCGGCCTCCCGAAGTGCTGGGATTATAGGCTTGAGCTACCGTGCCCGGCCGGACAATAGTTGTAACTAATCTTGTGACTTTTCTAGTTTGAGATTAAAAAAAAAATGTATTCCAGGCCAGGTGCAATGGCTCACACCTGCAATCCCAGCACTTTGGGAGGCCGAGGTGGCAAATTGTTTAAGCCCAGGAATTCAAGACCAGCCTGGGCAATAGAGCAAGACCTCATTTCTACAAAAAAAATAAAAATAAAAATTAACTGGGCATGGTGATGTGCACCTGTAGAATCATGGGATGCTGACATGGAAGGATCTAGCCCAGGAGGTCAAGGCTACCATGAGACATGATCATTGTGATCATGCCACTATACTCTAGCCTGGGCAACAGAGTGAGACTCCGAGTCAAAAATAAAATGTATTCCAAAAAAGTAAGAAAAAGTCAATGGAAGCTGGGCTCGATGGCTCAGCCTGTAATCCTGCGCCTTTGGGAGGCTGAGGTGAGTGAATTGCCTGAGCCCGCGGGTTCGAGACCCACCTGGGCAGCGAGACCTCATCTCTACAGTAAATCAAAAAATCAGCCGGGCGTGGTAGCACATGCCTGTAATTCCGGCTGCTTGGAAGGCTGAGGCAGAAGGATCGCCGGAGCCCAGCAGGTCGAGGCTGCGGTGGCCGGGAGCGGCCACTGCACTCCAGTCTGGACCACAGGGTGAGACTCCAACTCAAAAAAAAAGTCAATGGAAAAAGAAACTCATTTAGAGAACAATTTGGCAATATGCATTAAGAATCTTCAAAATGAGCACACTCTTACCTCTAGTCATACTACTTATAAAAATTTTTCTTGAGGAAATAATTAGCTATGTGCACAAAGATGTAATCTAAATGCTCAACAGTAAGAGAATTGTTACCTAAACTGTGATATATAAATAAATAGAATACTATGTAATTATTAATAATCAGTGTCGAAGAATAGATTCAGAAAAATGCTGACTTTGTAGTGCTAAGTAAAAAATGAATAAACAATTACATATCCAGTAGGAACCAAACTTTATAAAACAATAATAAAAATACTAGATTAAAATACAGCAGTATTTTAATATCATGGTTACCACTGAAGAAAAGCAGTGATAAAAATTTTATTTTCTATATTTTTCAAAAATTGTTTTATACTGAACTTTGATAAAAAGCAAAAAAAAAAAAACAACCAAATACTTTTTATAAAATCTCTCCCAATAGCCTGTAAAAACTGTGTCCATTCATTTCAACCATGCTTTCCAACATTAAGCAGTTCAGAGGAACTTCAGAAAGTTGAAATGGAAGGGAATGTACCCATGGGAACATATGTCCATACTGACTGCTGTTAGGTGATATTTGGATCAAATGATAGTATAATATCAGAGAATGTTTCTATAAAGGGCTTTTCTCCTGCATGCATCTATTTAACATAAGAAGAGTTCTAATGCACACAGCTCTACATATCTAAAGGTAGTCATTTGATTTCACTGTATATTTTGCCTAGTGCTTTGCAGATTATCTATAAAATTTTTTAATTAAACAGAAGAATGAAATACAACAAACAAAATCACTTTTAAAAGACAAGAACTTCTAGCATAAAATTTGTCAATTGTTGAAAACTGGGCTGGGCACGGTGTCTCACATCTATAATCCCAACACTTTGAGAGGCAGAGGTGGGAAGACTGCCTGAGCCCAGGAGTTCAAGCTGGGCTTAGGCAGCATAGCAAGATCACGTCCCTACAAAATATAAAAAAATTAGCCGGGTATGGTGGCGTGCATCTATAGATTCAGCTACTATGGAAGTTTAGGTGGAAAGATGTCTGAGCCGGGCTCTGTGGCTCAGCCTGTAATCCCGCGCCTTTAGGAGGCTGAGGTGAGTGAATTGCCTGAGCCTACGGGTTCGAGACCCGTCTGGGCAACTTGGCGAGACCTCCTCTCTATAATAAATCAAAAATCAGCCGGGCGTCGTAGCACGCACTTGTAATTTCGGCTACCCGGAAGGCTGAGGCGGAAGGATCGCCGGAGTCCAGCAGGTCGAGGCTGCGTTGGCCGGGAGCGGCCACTGCACTCCAGTCTAGGCGACAGAGTGAGACTCCAACTCAAAAAAAAAAAAAGATGTCTGAACCCAGGAGTCTGTGGTAAGCTGTGATTGTGCCAGTGCACTCCAGCCAGGGTGACAGAGTAAGACTCTGACTAAATGAATAAATATGAAAAGAAAAACTACAACTATAGAACAAGGACTTTTATCATTTCCTTTCATTACTAAAAATAAGTCCAAAGCTATTTTGAAAAATGTTGTAAAAAACTGTTTGCATATACATTACCTCCATCATTTATTTTCTTTGTTATACATATTCTGCAAGTCAAAATTCAAATGCCATCAATAGAGATTTATTAAAAATCAAGTCTGTAAAGGATTATTGTGTGAGGTCTGAAATATAAATTAGTATAATATGCAATCCCTCAAAAATGTAAAACTGATTGGTCAGAGGAATCATAAGTTCATATAGAATTAAATTATAATACAAGGGTTAAGATTATAATAAATCTCAGATGGTTAGAAAAGTGGTTAGATAGAGAAAAAAAGGAAAGGTATTCCAGATGAAGAGAAAATATAGAGGAAATCAAAATAAGTTGGAAATTTACGTACTATTATGATAAGCAAATTTTTGAGAAGTTGAAAATCTATGTAGGATTATGGTTAGCAAATGAAAAAAAGGTAGAAATGCAAGTGCAATTATGGTAAGCAAACCAATCATGAATAGTAAGGGAAAATTGGATTGCAAATGAGGATGAAGAACGATTATGAACATCTAAATACTGGAGTAAGAGATTTGAACCTTATTCTTTAGACAACAGAGACTCACAAAAGTTCTGAGTCAGAAAATGGCATTTAATGGACAAGAGTTATGTATTCACAGGATAAATAAATCTCACAAATATCATGTTGGTCAAGAAAAAGCAAGTCACAGAAGAACACATATTATGACACCCTTCATATAAATTGAAAACATGCAAGGCATGTTAAATTCTACTCTAAAACATATGCATATATACAGCACAAGTGTAAAGAAAGACATGTGAATGATATGCAGCAAATTCGAGACAGCAGCTATCTTGGCTGGGACTGGGGATAAATAAGGGAGAACACAAGGGGATTTAACTATGGAGGCAGTATTTTACTTTTTTTAAGCTTGATAATGTGTACACAAGTGTCACTGATTCCTTATACCTTTTTTAACAATGATGAAAGTGGGCTCAGGAGGGGAGAGATAGAGCCTGAAAGCTGCCTGAGTATTTGGAATGTTACTGAAATAATAACAGCACAAGATGATCAAAGTTTAAAGCAGGGCCAGTAGTGATAAGCTTGGAGTAAAAGGAATAGTTGTAAAATTTATTTGGAAACAATTTTATTTTTTACTTTATTTTATTTTTTATTTTTTTTTAGTTGGCGTCTCACTCTGTCGCCCAGACTGGAATGCAGTGGCCGCTCCCGGACACCACAGCCTCGACCTGCTGGGCTCCGGCGATCCTTCCGCCTCAGCCTTCCGAGTAGCCGGAATTACAGGCGCGCGCTACCACGCCCGGCTAATTTTTTTATTTTATTGTAGAGATGAGATCTCACCAGCCCAGGCGGGTCTCGAACCCGTGGACTCAGGCAATCCACTCACCTCAGCCTCCCAAAGGCGCGGGATTACAGGCTGAGCCACCGAGCCCGGCTGGAAACAATTTTAAAAGGGCAGGAATTATGGTGTGTGAAAGGTAGAAGAGTATAAAAATGAAAACTATTCTCAGGATAGCAAAATGTACACTTAACTTCCTAACTCCTTGTTCAGTGATATACTATGAAGCCATCAATGAAGGCCAAATATCAGGCATTGCAGGAGTATTTACACCATGGTAATAGAGAAAGCTCAAAATCCAGGCTGTTTTTTTATTTTTGTTTTTGAGAGTCAACTTACCAGCACACTACTATTTATCTAATTCAATTAGAATTCGAGGAGATAAAAGGTAAAGGAATTGGTAGGCAAGTCATCAAAAACAAAGTGGTTCCTCATTTCTTGCATTTTCAGCCTAAATTCAAGGCTGTAAAAAAATCTCTGAGGTCTACTAACTTAATTGATATCAACTGCTTTCATAAATAAGAAGTTACCTTGTGAAAACATTTTATATACAGAGACATTAAAAGTATTTACTTCTGATTTTCTAATAAATGCCTGTGGTGAGGTCCCATGCACCAAGTTATTGACTGCCATATTCCTAAGAAGACAATAACACAGCAGGGAAAAGAAGAGTGAGTTATTTTCCAATAGAAGTGGCTCACCCAGTGTCTCCCATTATGCATCCGGACCACGTGTCCTCACATTTACACTCACCTAAGGGAAAATGAATACACATACCTTACAAAGTGGACATGCCTGCATTAAAGTAATTTCACCTTTAAAAACATTGTCTTCACTTTATTTCTTAAATATGTTTTTAAAAGTAATGCATGCTTTCTAATTCTTCTTATACTTGAAGTTTTTATGCAACATATAACAATAAAAATATACTTTGACCCTATCAAGTTTACATCATTTTTACTTTTAAAAAAATCTTATATTTTAACAAATGGCTATATTTAAACCATTCACTTAAAATGGCTTAAGTGAAAGAATCAAACACCAATGAAATAGTAAAGAACTTTATGGCACCATTATAGGATCTCAGTTTGATAGGACTTTACGGGAATTATTACCATTTTGGGGTCTATTTTTATAAGCACCATGCTCTAACCAACTGAGTTAACTGATAACCACACAATTTCTTGTCTATTTTTAAAAGCCTCTGTACCAAGGCTTCTGGTAGAAGGCAATATAGAATATTGGTCAAGCAGAAGAACTTCAGAATCAGAAATACCCGGATTTAAAAACCTGGGTTTCTCACTTAAAGTATGTGTAATTTTGGAGACATTGTCTTTTATTTGTTTATCTAGTCACTTCATCTGTAAAATGGGGCTAAAAGTAGGTATTTTGTAGAATTATCTTTAGGATTAAATTAATATTAGATATAGGTAATACTGGCATTTGATCATCTAGCATATAATGAATGCTCTAGACATGATAATAGTTATTATAAAAATCACATTCATAATATGTATTACTAAAATGAAATAAATATAATTATAATCAAATTTTTACTCTAAATATATAATATTTGATCATTTATGGTAAAGTAACTTTACCTATTTGGGAAAAGAAATTCTTTGTAGATGCTAAACCAAGCATATTTTACCTGGGGCCATACGTGTGTGTGTGTGTGTGTGTGTGTGTGTGTGTGTGTGTGTGTGTGTGTGTGTGTGTGTGTGTGTGTGTCAAAGTCTCACTCTGTCATCAGGCTGGAATGCAGTGACATGATCAATGTTCACCACAGTTTTGACTTCCTGGGCTCAGGGGATCCTTCTGCCTCAAACTCCTGAGCAGCTGGGACTACAGGTATGCACCACCAGCCCAGTTACTGTTTTTATTTTTTGTAGAGAGAAGGCCTTGCTATTAAGACCTAGGCTGGTCTGAAACTACTGGGTCTAAGTGATCTTTCTACCATGACCTCCTAAAGTGCTGGAATTATAGGCATAAGCCACTGTGCCCAGTCCCTAGGTCCATATTTTGTGAAGCTTTTTATTAGGTCTGATGCTGGCATGTAAGTTCTACCTCTGTAGCTGTACTTGGAGATGTTTTAAATAAACCATAATAAAAAAGACTATCTGAAACCTATATGCATAGAACTCTCCACTTGACCATTTAAAACTACCAAACTGAGCTTATTTTGCCCTCCTTTAAATTCAGCTATGAATTTATTATTACATGGCTTTAAATGTGTATTATATATGCAGAAGTTTTCTTCTATAATGTCAATATTCCCTTGTGTTACTTATGATAACAACATTTTGTGTTCTATTTATCTTTTACTGCCATCTAAATTCTTACTATCAAGCAACTGAATCAAAGAATCTCATGCTCTAAAATATTTTACAAATAGTGTATTTTAAATACAACTAAATCACACACGTAGTAACGCTTACCACTTGCTAACTTTCTTTTGTCTGAGATAATACCAATATTATGGGCTAATGACTGGGCAAGTGTAACAGCCATTAAGTCAGTTTTCCCAAACTGAAAGACAAAAACAAAATACATATAAATACACGTTGTTTTCATTTAAGATAGACCAGAAAAAATGTCACAATATAACTGAAAATAAGTAACTTCTAAGCATCCTCTTTAGCATAGGCTAAATCTGTTGTAACTAGTGCTGAACATGCATTTGAAAAGAAGAAATAAATTTATGTTTGAATAAGTCTTACAGAGAAGTCTACAAGTCTGGGAATAATCAGCTTTTGAATCTGGAAGCTTAAATTTCATTCTGAGTCCAAATTTCACCAATGACATTCTTGAAAATTCAAGACTTACATATGATTAAATCAGTCTTTTGAACAATAAACAAATAAATAAATGTGTAAAAAATTATTTAGAACTTGTTTATCTTTATGTGTCTACTTGTTCTCCTGAAATTCCCCCTCAAACAGAACAGAATGTGATTTCAGGAAAAAATGGAATGGGTAACAGGAAGTAGTGATGGCCTTGGCTAATAGATACTTAAGAAGAACTAAGTGTATATTTTTTAATATGTAGCCTCCTAAAGATACAAATATTTTTCTTTTAGATCACTTCTGTCAGGTTTAGTGCCTCAGGAGTAAAAGGGACTCTTTGGAAAACTCACTCTATTTTTTTCTCCCCTAATTGTCAAATGCTAAATAAAGAAGAAAATATCTAATTGGGTTGTTAGGTTAAAACCCAATGCTTCAGGTAATCACTCAGTTTCCTAGGGAGACATTCAAAGTGATAAGTAGGGCCTTATTTTAGATGAAGGTAAAGGTAAAGATGCTCTCTATATAATCTGTAAATAGCTTAATATGGAAATTAATCTACATAGGACATGAACAGAACTATCACACATTATCTCCCATTATTTTCCTGTTCTGTCCTTTGGTCACTTACAGTAACTGTATTATTGTTAATATAACAATTGCCATCTAGAGTATGTGGAATACTGAAAAATGATCGCTTAAATATTAGGAAAACATTTTCAGCCATCATACCACTTTGTATTATACAGATGTTCACACCTACTTCATTCACGCCTCCTCCTTTCAGCAACGAGCAAATCCCACCAATATAAGCTGCCCCGCTCCGGCTACTCTCAAATTGACTTCCCCTTTTAGAAAAGGAAATGAAAAATGCTTACTGCTCACAGTTCAAACATCATAGCAACTGTTATTATTAATTTACTGCACTTATTTTCTCAATGTACATAAAATTGCCCTGCAACATATTCAGGAGGTAAAGAGAAAATGTGAAAATTGTTTACACAAATAACCAAAAAAAAAAGTTTCTGAGGGAAGTTTTCACACAAGATCAGTAAATATCTTAAATTGAAGTATAACTATTAAGAAAGAACTGTGATATAATGTACTCTGTGAACGATACAAAATCACTTCTCTGGTATTTCTGCCCAAAATACATAACTTGAATCCCATAATGAGAAAATATCAGTCCCACAATGAGGAACAGTCTATAAAATAATGGCCTAAACCCTTTAAAGGTGTTAAGTTCAAAATAGATAGAGGCTGAGGAAATATTTAAAATTAAAGAAGACTAACAAGAGACATGATAATTAAATGCAATGTGTGATCCTGGATTGGATTCTGTTTGGGGGAAATGAGCAATAAAAGATATTATTGAGACAATTGGTAAAATACAGACTATGGATTACATAAGAGTATTGTGTTAATGTTAAATTCTCTAGTTTTAATAATTTACTGAGGTTATACAGAAAATGTCTTTGTTCTTAGATAATACACACTGAAGTAATTAGTAGTACATCGTCATTAAGTGTCTTCAACTTATTTTTCTAAAGGTTCAAAAAAAAGGTCAATGGATGGATGGGTGGAAGGAAGGAAAAGAGGGGAGGAGGAAAGAAGATATAAAACAAATGGAGGGAAATGTGAATAACTAATGGATCTGGATAAAGGACATATGTAATTTCCTTGTAGTATTCTTGTAACTTTTCTTTAAATTTGAAATTATAAAAAAATAAAAAGTTACCCAAAAATGTTTCCTTCCATTTATAACTTTCTTCAACCGTCCTGATTTAGATTGTATTTTAAAATGCTACTCTATATAATTTGCTATTGCATCAAAGATATGTTACCCCCTAAAAAATTAAGAGTACAAAAAGATAAAATAAAATAAACTCCAGAAATACTAAGTAAGCTCTTTCCTTAGAACCAAAAGCAGGGAGAACATTAACATTCAGCAACCTTAAAGAAAATAATTTATCTGTTGTTAAGAATACCTTATATCTATGAGTATTGGCAGTACTTTTACTCAGTAAATGCACCGAAAAATTAAACAGACATACAACAATAAAATAACTCAAAATTAGATCTCTTAAATTTTCAAACAACCTATACTTTAGAACTTCTTCCAAATATATCTGCCATATCAAATCTTTATTGTATTTTGTTGCAGAAGGAAACATTTCAGTCACAAATATAATGCATTCAACATGGAATCAAAAAAGTAATAAATCATTGCAAAAGTTACGTACGAAAAAAGGTGAACTGCATCACTTTTCTCTTTGATAAAATCTCTCCTGTATTTCATAAACTCACGTAGGGTGATCAGGGGATTTTCAGAAATGGCAAACTTGTTGTCAGTTGCCCAGGTTTCCATGGCAACCAATACTATCCTGGTCTTAAGTTGGTCTTGATATATCTAGTATATTAATAAAATGAAAACATCAGCTGTATATGTGATAAAACCAAATCATTTATGAACAGGATTACAAAGTTTTTTTCACAGAAACCTCTTGAGTTTTAGTTAAAGATAGGAAACATTACTGTTTTTAAGGGAGATAATTATTTTTCTATTTTACATACATTTCTCTGAGTAACACAGAATCAAATTGTTTACCAAGTAATGCCCAAAGAACAAAGCACTTTTTAGAAACAAAAGATCTCTTTTTGGCAAATACTTGTACCCTATTCAAGGCTCCCCCTGAATCTATTTTCTGGCATCCTGGAAAAAGAATTCTTTTGTGTTTTGAGTCATCCTAGTATAAAATGGAACCATGAAGATTCTCCAAACAAATAATTTCCATACAACCTGATTGACTCTGATTAAACTTGTGAAGAAAGTACTGGCATTGCCTTGTTGAAGGAAGATTTGGAAAACACAGAGGTACAGTGGAATTATTTAGTTGCATCACTGCCAAAGCACCAGATACTCTTGAAAAAAGGCACAACTGTTGTGTTCCATTGTTAGAAGTCACTAGGAACATATTTGTTAGGGATCTTTACAGTGTGAAAAACACAAGAAGGAATTCCAGGCATATCTGTGGATAACTGACCACTTCCTCTGCCCAGCCAGAGATGCAAGGTCAAAAAGAACTTATGGGACACCTTGGCTAAAGTGCAACTTACAGCAACGAAAATATAAGAGCCGTATTACTATCCACTTTATTAGCAATCCGGAAACAAAATTCCTCTAGCACAATATCAAACCAGGTTGATACTTACCAAATCTGCAATATTCACCACAGATTTTGCATAGGTATTGGTATATACAATGGAAAGTCGATGTTTTTTAAACTGAAAACAAAAGAAAACAAGTGAAGGACTTTCAACACTACCAGGAAATAATCATCTCAGCAGAAAAAACAAGGTATAATTGAAAAATTCCTAAAAATGCCTTTTAAAAAGTTTTTTTCTATAAAAATACCACTTTTATAAAAAAAAGTCAGTGTTGAGACCTAGTTCTTTATGTGCTGTGTACCCTGATTCAAGGATATGAAACACTTGACGCCTCAGTTTACTTATCTGTGAGATGAAGTTAAAAAGACCCATTCCATCGATTTCACATGTTTATTTTTATCAGGTTATTCAAAATGATAAAACATTCAAATGTTGCCTATAAACTGAAAGGTATACAAATCTAAATAGGGGTATAGCCAGCAAAAAACTACAGGTTCTACAAGACTTAGTAAGAAGAAAACTCCAAGATAAAGGTCACAATGAGGTGGCATAGTGGGCCGATGAATAACTTATATCTATTGTATGGTCTCAGTGGTATCTTAAAAATCAGGAAATATCATGTAAAACCTGATTTCTGGCTTCACTTAAAATTAGCACACATGGTAATATCTGGCAGGTGGCTGCTGCTCCCTTTAAATATACCATGTTCCTTCACTTTTACCACAGACCCCTCACCCATCCCTATTGTCTTATACCTTGTTCACTTCACTATGTTATCTATGTTATCTGCCTATAGATATTTATAGATAACCGAATTTGTGAGTATCTAAAATGTTCAAAATATATGTTCTTGAAGCTTATTCTGATTTTATGAAAATCCCAGGAAACAATGGATTCAAATAGGTAGAAACATAACACATAGACCTTACCTAAAGGAAGCAGCACTAAACCCTGATTATTATTATTATTATTAGCAACAGTAATAATTAAGAATATCAATATTATTTATTTAATCATACATTAAAAAGACACATTTTTCTTCAAATAAATCATTTAAAGTAAATTAAAATGCACTTCTACCATAAATCAAGGAAAATTCAGCAGTGTGCATCAGTACACATTTTTAGTTTAAAACTCTGGTTACATGGAACAATTAACATCATAACTCACATCTGTGCTATGAATGTAACCATACTGAGTGCAACATGCACATGAATTGAATATACACTCTACGGGTCAAAATAATTTGATTTAACAAGAAGAAAGTTTTGCCAAGTTCTCATTCTAAGAGTCTTCACTACTTAGCTATATAAGCATTTCCATATGGTTTTCTACCCAGCAAGATGGAGTAAAAAAAAATGCTTTTTCTTTATTAAGATAAAGCTATATGTTACAAACTAAAGGCATCACATAATCGGTGCCTCACTTACATTTTCAATATAAAATGGAAATTTCTACTTCTCCTAAACTTTGTCATTTTAGTAAGTGGAGATTCAAACATCAGCACCTATATTATAAATCAAGCAAATTCAAAGAGTTGACATTATAACTCAGAAATATTTTTGAAACATCAGAAATTATTGCTAGATATTCCCACTTAAGAATGTTTCCTACTTGCACGCTGTTGCTGGTTAAGAAATACCTTCTCCAGGTTGCAGCTTGATGGGCTTTTTGGTCCTTCTAAACATATTTTGGGGGCTTACCAGCTTTACTCTAGGCACACACAAGTTAAAGGAAAAAAAAAAAAAAAAAAAAGCAAATCCTACCATAAGATGATCATTCACAATCATCAGTTCAATGTATTTGGTTTCTTCTTCTACATTACGAGGATGTCGACGAAGCTGTAATATAGTAAATAAAACAGCACCCAAATGAGCCCTATAAACTTGGCTCTGAAAAACTAAAAAAAAAAAAGAAAGAAATCAACAAAACAAAATTCCTCCCATTTTATTCCTTTAGCATTTCCTGAAATTTGGACCAAGTTACTTAGTTTTTTGGTAGGTAATAAATGTATATTGTTCAAAAAATTATAGTATAAAAAGGCACAAAGTGATTGTCTTCCTCTCACCTCAGTCCCCACAAGTCCACAATGGGTATAGAGAGTTACTGGTTTTATCCAGAAATACTTATGCAATATAAAATGAAACATCAATATATACTTTATTTTGTACTTCCGTTTATTTCACTCTATTTTGCATCAGGTTATTTTTATTTAACAATATGTCCTGGAAATAGTAACACATGAAGAGCAGTCTTTCAGGTATAATTTAGGGTCCTGAGGATCTTAAAGAGGGGCACAGGAAGTGGCGGTACTTTTATTCTTTCATCTCCAAAAGAATGAGATGTGCCCTTCCTCTGGTATGGTTCAGGGGATACCCCCAAATGACACAAGGCTTTGTCAGCTTTGGGAACTCCTAGGCAATCTGGGGTTATCTATTATAGTGAGCTCTCTCTACTCAACAATTCATTTTCTCCACCTTCAAAATCATGACCAATGAAAGTTACAGATAAGAGCCACTAAAGCAGCCATTCCCTTTGTTCTCTGCAGTTAGAATCATTAACAAGGTATGTAAAACGTTTTCCTTTATGCTATAGTTCAAAACACATTTTTTCAGGAAATCTTTTCTTCACTTGCCCATGGGCCATTTTTGTAATGAGGGTATACAATCAATGTTAAATTGATACACGTATGTTTGGTTTGAGAGCTGCATTTAAAACAAGCTCACCAGGTGCAATAGCTCACACCTGTGATTCAAGCACTTTGGGAGGCTAAGGTGTAAGGATTGCTCGCACCCAGGAGCTGAAGAGTGCCCTGGGCAACATAGTAAGACCTTGGCTCTACAAAAAAATCTAAACAGACCAGTGAAAAAATTAGTCAGGTGTGGCGGCACATCCCTGTAGCCCCAGCTATTTGGGAGGCTATGGTGGAAGGATCGCCTGAGCCCAGGAGGTTGAAGCTGCAGTGAGCCATGATCATGCCACTGCACCTCTGCTGGGCAACAGAGTGAGATCCCAACTCAAAAATACATACATACATACATACATACATACATACATACATACATGCATAAAACTGTAAAAAAAAAAGGCATCGCATTGATATTGTGCCATTGCTAACTGCATTCCTAGACTTATAAACTTTAAAATAAAAATTACAATGCCAAGCTGATGGGAAATAATAGACTGTTAATTCTGTTAATGAGTAACATTAAACTATATCCAATGATCAATAACATGAATCATTTTTTTTAAAGGATGTTTTCAGGATGATATGATGATATGATCTGCTTTGCTAATCATGGGAAAGACTTACTAGTTAACACAGTAGACTTTCTAACAAGTCCCAACATTTTTGTAAAGTCAGAGAGTTGTCATATTGACTACACAGTTTTATAGAACTTCACCTACATGGCTCCACAGCTTTCTTAGAAAGAGAAATCAAGGGCTTGTGTGCTTAGCAAATAACTAAATGTTGAACTGTTTATGGAGAACTTCAAGGGATATGTCAAAAGAATATTACCCTATTCTCTTAGTTCTCTCAGTTCATAATTCATGAAAATAAATACTACTTTCAATTAAATCTTGATGGTAATTATTTTTATCTACCTAACTGGGCCTCAAGATATACACGAGTATGTCTCAGTCTCTACTAGTGTGTGTGTGTGTGTGTGTATACACACACACATCTATATGTATATACACATATTCACATTTAATGTGTGTCTATACACATAATATTTATTATATGTATAAACATTCACAAGATATATGAACTCATGGTAGTGATTAATGGAAAATATGGGCTTCTGAGAGGTAACAGATAGGCATATGTGGCTATAAGCATCTATCTGAGAACAGATTTTTTCCTAGGTCAGAATCTCAATTCCCCCACTGGGTCATCCTATGTGACTACAGGCAAGTTGCTTAAGGCTCTTAGCTTCATTGTCCTTACCAGTAAAGTGAAGATAACACAGGTTAAGTATTCCTAATCCCAAAATCCAAAATCTGAAATGTTCCAAGATTCAAAACTCTTTGGGCATCATCATGATTCTCAAAGGCAATCCTCATGGATTTCATATTTCAGATTTTCAGATTAGGAATGTTGAACCAGTAAATATAATGCAAATATTCCAAAATCAAAAAAAAAAAAATTCAAGATCTGCAACTCCTCTGGTCCCAAGCATTTCAGACAAGGGGTACTCAACCTGTAATAACAGCCTCCTCATAACTTTTTTATAATGATTAAATGTGATTAAACAGTTAAAATTCTGATAGTAGGGCTAGGCATATGGTAAGATTCAACAATATTTAGTAACTATTATTTACAATAGAAATGTGTCTGTAAATACATTTTATTTCAAGGTAATAAATGCAAGATACCTGGTTCCTTCAACTGCTTGATCTTACTAAAGATCTATTTTCTTTATATATTTTTTTAAAAACACACACACACACACACACACACACACACACACACACACACGTACACCACCAAATCTTGATTCTGATGGTCAGAGCTCTTATTTTATCTAAATTATTTATCATCTCTATGATTCCTAGTAAGTCATTTTCACATGTCAAAGCCATAATTTTTCTTTATGTGAAAGGATAACAATGGTAGCTACTTCATGCGGTTTAAAGCACTGTGTAAACAATTGTTATTATCCAGTTCAAGATCCAGCTGAACGATCATAAAAGCTTATGTCCTAATTTTACATATTCTGGACTCCAAAGAAGCTCAAGTGAAACAAATGCATTTTGTGGTTTCAAAACCTGATGGACTCACACATAAGGGTTATCTTCAAGGAGATAAATACAAGAATATGTACCATAAAAGCAGACTCCACGTTTTGGTGTATATATGGGAAAGGAAAGAAGCCTGTGGTAGAAAGAAACTGAGATACCACAAGCAGGGCCCTCATAAGCCACAGTGAGAACCCATATTATTGCCACTATCTTGAATCCTTTTTGAGTCTATAAAATAATATGTCCTCCTTTCTTCTGCTCCTACAGATCTGTCACCCTTACTGTTTACCACACCCAGACAAATGGCTGAACTAATACTTACCTTCTTACAGAGACTTAACACAGATTCAAATGATTAGCAGTTGCCAAGTGTTTTAAAATATCATGACATATCCCTGTGAACACATACCTGCCGTTTACTCCTTATTGGTCTTGGTTTCAAAATAAATTTTGGTAGAGTGATGTTTACTTGTTGGAATTCTAGAAGAAAATATAATTTAATTTAACTTAGTGCATTTGTCAGATTTCTTTCAAACAATTCTACCTGCCCTCTTTCTTACGAATTTTATAATACTCAATATTTACTTAATGATCATAGAGAACATGAATCTAAGTATCTATATTATATTAATAATGAATAAACATAAAATGAATGAATACAATTTGCCAAATCTCAAACATTATTTCTGTTATAATTTATCTCACAATTTTTTCATATTTCTCCTATAAATATATAACGATCATTTTCAGAAATCTTCTAAAAAGCAAAATTGACTTTCACCTCCATTACTAACCTTCTAGAGGCAGCAAAATACATTGAAAAAGAGAAGCAAGTAGAATAAGTAATTGCGCATTCACAATTTCTTAATTATTAAGAAATTATTTTAGAGCACCAAAGTTTGTTACTTTTTTCTAATCAATTAACATTTTTCTTTGCCCATAACCAAATTAACCTCAAGTTTTGTCTGCTTTTGAGAGCAGATGTGAAAATTATACAATTGTTTATGCATATAGAGACATTTCCGGATATAAGATTAAGTTATTTGTAAGGCAGGATTTTTCTACAAAGTGAAATGAAAATTTTTAAAATCATTCCCTGTGGTGCAGATTTCCTAAAACTTTGATAGTTGACTGAACAACATGAAGAGGTTTTCTGTGGGAGTAACACTGTACAACACTAATGGTGAACCACTATCATTATTCTTGAATACCGTTTACTTAAATTGAAAAGTTCTCTGAAATCATACCATTGTCCCAAAATGTGAAAAAAAAAGTGCTTGCTTTTCAAATGAATGAGTTATTACATTAACTTAAATATTAATAAGAAAATGTACTCTATATTATCAACCTATGTGATTTTTTTAAAATTATGAAAGTTTTTAAGAATCTATTTAAAGTTGTGTCCATGACTCATTTAAGTAACTTATCCAGATTCTTTTCATTACCATGATTAAATTCATAGATAATAACTAATTAAACTATTTTCTGAATTTTTAATATATATGGGATAGCATAAACAACATTGTTGAAAGTGAGAGATAATCGTGGTTAGGGAAGTCTGTGACACAGACTAGGCAACATAGTGAGTCCTTGTCTCCACAAAAAAATTTAAAAACATTAGTCAGGTGTGTTGGCACATGCCTATAGTCCCAGCTACTCAGGAGGTTTATGCAGAAGGATCGCCTGAACTCAGGATGTCAAAGCTACCATGAGGTGTGACTATGTCATTGCACTCCAGCCTGAATGACAGAGATCCCAACTCAAAAACAAAATAAAAAAGAAAGAAATCTGTGACAAAGAAGCTGAATAATGAAATTGGGATAAGAAAATTAATATATTGGCTACTAATCATTTCATTTTCAAATATTTTCCCATCATGTTGCTTTGGAGAATGTTATGGTTTGGGTATACAAGAGATTTTGTGAGGAAGGGATAAGTTGTCTGTTACAATTAACTGATAAGACAAGAAGAAAGAAAAACAAGCCGGGCTTGGTGGCTCAGCCTGTAATCCCACGCCTTTGGGAGGCTGAGGTGAGTGGATTGCCTGAGCCCGCGGGTTCGAGACCCGCCTGGGCAGCAAGACCTCATCTCTATAATAAATCAAAAAATCAGCCGGGCATGGTAGCACATGCCTGTAATTCCGGCTACTTGGAAGGCTGAGGTGGAAGGATTGCTAGAGCCCAGCAGGTCGAGGCTGTGGTGGCCGGGAGCGGCCACTGCACTCCAGTCTGGGTGACAGAGTGAGACTCCAACTCAAAAAAAAAAAGAAAGAAAAACAGGATGACAAAATTAAGCCAAATCATGTCAATAATTATATTAAATGTAAAAAACCCAAAATGCTACAGCTAAAAGGCACCGATTGCCAGAATGAATTTTTTTAAATGCATGCCCTATCTATGTGGTTTTAACAATAGAGGCACTTTAAATATAAAATATGGAAGAAGATATACCTTATAAACATTAATGATAAGAAAGCTATGAAGGTAATAGTAATATCAGACAATGTAACTTCAGGACAATAGATATTAACAGGAAGAAAGAGTACTGTTTCATAATAATAAAAGGATCAACTCATCAAAAAGACACAGCACTCCTAAATGTTTATTCAACTAATAACAGAGTTTCAATATACATAAAGCAACTCCTGACAGAACTGAAAGAAGAAACAGACAAATTCAAAGTTATACTTGAAGATTTTAAGTATTCTCAGTTATTGACAGAAAAAAGGAACCAGACTCATGAGGATATAGAAGACAATGTTATTAACCAATCTGCCTAAATTGGCATTTTTTAAAGACTTCACCCAACAACTGCAAAACATAGATATTTTTCAGCAATACATGAAACATTCAGCAAGACAGACAATATGCTAGATCATAAAGTAAGCCCCAATAAATCTAAAGAAACTGAAATGGCACATAGTATTTTCTCTTACTGCAATTCAATTCCACTAAAAACCTATAACAAGTTGGGCATGGTAGTTCACACCTGTAATCCTAGCACTTGGGAGGCTGAGGCGAGAGGATTGCTTGAGACCAGGAGTTCGAGACCTGCCTGGGCAACAAAGCAAGATCTCATCTCTACAAAAAGAAGGAAGGGAGGGAGGGAGGGAAGGAGGAAGGAAGGAAGGAAGGAAGGAAGGAAGGAAGGAGGGAGAAAGAAAGAAAGAAGGAAAGAGAGAGAGAGACAGAGAGAAAGAAAGAGAAAGAAAGAAAGAAAGAAAGAAAGAAAGAAAGAAAGGAAAAGTTAGCCAGGCATAGTAGCATGTGCAGCTACTTGGGAGGCTGAGGCAAGAGGATCACCTTTGCCCAGGAGGTCAAGGTTATAGTCATGCATGCCACTGCACTCCAGCCTAGATGACAGAGACCTCGACTCCAAAACAAAGAAATGATCATGCATGACACTGTACTCCAGCCTGGACGATAGAGTGAGAACTCAACTCCAAAAAAAAAAAAAAAAAAATTAACAAAAAGAAGTCTGGAAAAAAATAGTCAAATTTTTTGGCATTAATTACACATTTCAAAATAACCTATGGGAAAAAGAAGAAATCACATGAGAATTTATAAAATGTTTTGACCTAGAGATAAAGAAGATATAACAAGTTGAAATATGAGGAATTCAGGTAAGGGCCTCAGTACTTGAAGGGAAATGTGTATCTTTAAGTGGTTACATTAGATAGAAAAAATATGTAAAATCAGTGGTCTAAGCTTACATCTTAAGAAGCTAGAATAATAAGAGCAAGCAAATAAAAACCAAATCAAGTAGAAAAGTGTGAAAATATCAATAAATTGATCAATGGTAATTGGCCAATTTTTAAAAAGTCAATACAGATCCTACAGACATCAAAAGGATAAGTAGATATTAGAAAGTGCTTTATGCTAATAAATTCAATAATTTGATAAAATTCCATGAACACAAGTGTATATAGAGAAAATCTTTAAAATCTTGTATCTATTAGATAAAATTTGTTATTAACACTCTCCAAGGAAACTACAAGCCCAGATGGCTTCACTGATGAATTCTGTCAAACACTTAAAGATAAATACCAATCTTAAGCAAACTCAAAAAGCAGAAGAGGTGGGAACTTTTCCCAACACATTTTATAAGACCAGCATAACCCTGATACTAAAACCAGAAAAGAAAACTACCGCCCAGTAACTTTCCTGAATCTATACATAAAAAATGCTTAACAAAATACAAGCAAATTAAATCTAGCAATATATAAAAATATAACTTACCATAACCAAGTGAGATTCATTTAAGGATGAAATTAGTTTCATATGCAAAAAATCAGTTTTTACAATTTGCCATATTAACATACTAAAAAAGAAAATATGATCATCTCAACAGATGCAGAGAAAGTATCTGACAAAATTCAACATGTATTCTTGATTTAAAAAAAAAAACTTAGCAATCTACAAAACAGGCTGATAAAACTACTCAGCTCAAACATGCGCCACCTTTCATGGAAAAGGAAGGATAAGCAGAATCAAAAGCTGAGAAGGTACAGTCAAGTCATGAAGAATTATTTCCAGGCCTTGAAACTTAAGGTAAGAGTCACCATTTGCCCAGCAGAATTTCGGAATTGCTATATCAGTGTCTTCTTGTTCCTCCAATTCCCCTCTTTTTTGTTTGTTTTTGTGGTTTTCTAATGTTTTTGATTTTGCAAAAGAAAATAAAAATTGCCTTTAATTTTAACATCCAGAGAAAACGTCTCATAACATAGTGGTATATACCTTACAGTCTCTTAATTATATAATTTTAAAGCATATTAAAGCTCTGACATATACACATATTATTTCATTGTAGTTTAGACTCAGGGGCACATGTGCAAGTGTATATTGAATAATGCTGAGGTCTGGGCTTCCATTGAACCCCTCACCCAAATGGGGAATATAGTACCCAATAATTAGCTTTTCAACCCTTGCTTTCCTCCCTCTCTCCCTTCCTCCTTTTGGAGTTCCCAGTGTCTACTGTTTCCATCTTTATGCTTATGTGTATACACTATTTAGCTCCCTCTTTTGAGTGAAAAATGCGGTATTTGATTTTCTATTTCTGTGTTCATTTACATTTAATGGTCTCCAACTACACCCATGTTGCTACGAAGGACATGATTTCATTCTTTTTCATGGCTGTATGTGTACCACACTTTCTTTATCCAGTCTACCACTGATGGACACTTATGTTGATTCCATAACTTTGGTATTGTGAATAAGGATGCGATAAACATACAAGTGCAGGTATCTTCCCGATAAAATGAGCATTTGGGTAGATCTTCAGTAGTGAGATTGCTGGGTCGAATGATAGCTCTATTTTTAGTTATTTGAGAAATGACTCCTACCTCTCAGCAACTACAAAAACTCACTCAAGATAGACCAAGACTTAAATCTAAGATCTCAAGCTATAAAAACCCTACAAGAAAATCTAGGAAAAATTATTTTGGCCTAAGTAAATAATTTATGACTAAGACCTCAAATCAA